AGGTCACACCGGCGCGCGACCTAAGAGCCCGGGAACGTCCACGCCGCGAAGACAGCTGCGTACGTCCAGGGCCAACCCGGGCGGCTCGAAACGCCCACTGCCCGCGTGAAACCGGCCTGCAGATGCTCCGCTCGCCGCCACAGCTGCACCGGATAGCTCCCCGTCCCGCGCCGCCCACTGGGGAGAAACTGAGGCAACGAAGGGGAGAGGAGCGCCGCAGAACTCACCGCGGACGACCGGCGGCAGCCATGTTCGCGGACACTACGCATGCGCGAGCCCGATTACCCGGATGTGCGCGTCCTCGGCAGCCAGCTGCGGGACTGTGGAGGGGCGGGGTGAATTTCTCCTGGCGCTCACTCTTTGGCTGGCTGCCTGGTCTTTCTGTTTGGACTCACGGATGTTTTCTTTTCCAGCCACTAGTCGGCTGTTGGCCGAGGCGGGGCTTGCTCCCCGGCCGAGGTGCTTCAGGTTCGGCGTCCTCCTTCTGCGACCAGCCTGGCATTTCTCCCTAGGCGTTCTAAACCGTGCTGTCGGTGGTTGTAGTACAGCCTTAATCTTAGTGCATAATTTGCCGGAATGGTTTTACATCATAGCTTGTTTTATTTTCAGAAAAATATGTTAAAATCCAGCTCAGGATATCTCATTACTTGACAATATAATTAATTTGCAAATCATGCAAGCTACATGTTTTTAGAATAGGGCAGCTAAGGATCGTAGTCGCACTCGGACGTGGTAGTGCACACCTGTGATCCCAACTATTTGTGAAGATGAGGCAGGATTGTAAATTACAGGCCAGCCTGAGAAACTTAGTGGGGCCAGAAATATGGTTTATAACAGAAGCAAATCACAAATTAGTGAACTGAGTGGTTTGGTTCTGGTTTTGGTGTTAGTTTTCCTGTGGCTAAGCAGTGAATCCAGGGCATCCTGCCTTTCAGGCACCTGCTCACCTGGTGGGCTCACAGCCCCAGCCCCAGTAGTGTTTTGGGGGGTCTTTAGCTTTACTGGTTTTCTACTACTTAATTACAAAGGAATATGAAGCTCCAACTATAATAATGAATTTTTTTTTTATAGAAGAGTTCTAAGCAGGCCTGCCTCAGGCTCCCAATACTGTAGCTGGGATTGTAGGCATGTCACAATGCCCAGCATTGTTTTTTGTTTTTTAAAGCTCTGTTATTAAGTGGATATATATTTAGAATTCTTGTATGTTCTTGATGAATTTGGCCATCTATAATTATGGAGTATTCTTTCTTATACCCAGTAGTTTTCCTTGTTCTGAAGTTTACTTAGCTTGATAATTACCTACCCACGCCAGCCTTCTTTTGATTATATTTGCTGTATATATTTTTTCAGACTTTTGCTTAAATTTACCTATATCATATTTCAAGTATAATTCTTATAGATGGTAAACAGGTCTTGTGTGGTGCTGTCGTTGTTGTTTTATCCTGACAATTTTTGGTATTTTTGTGGTTTTTAAGACACAGGTTGTACTTCAGGTTGACCTAGAATTCACCATGTAATGCAGGTAGGCCTCAAACTCACAGCAAACCTCCTGGCTCGGCCTCCAGAGTGCTAAGATTAAAGGTGAGCACCACCATGCCTGGTGACAGTTTTTTTAATTGGTGTGTTTAGAGCATTCACATTTAATGTAATTATTGATACAGTTCAATTTAGCCCTGCCATTTTTTCTTTTCTGTTTGTCACTTCTATTTTGGGGGTGGTGGTGCTGATTTCCCTTTTCTGCCTTCTTTGTATTATTATAAAATTTTGTACCACTCCATATTAGATTATCTGTTGGCATTTTAGCTGTATATCTTTGTATTTTTAAAGATTCTATTAGTGCACATTGGTTATTAGGGCAATGAGTTTCATTTTGGCAGATTGGTACATGCATACAGTATCGTTTGGTCATCTTCACCCCCATTACCTTTCTTGCCCTGCCACCACCTCATGTTTGTATGATTTTTTTAAAAAAATGACTGCAGCCGGGCTTTGGTGGCGCACGCCTGTAATCCCAGCACTCAGGAGGCTGAGGCAGGAGGATCGCCGTGAGTTTGAGACCAGCCTGGGCTACATAGTGAATTCATAGCCAGCTGGAACTACATAGTTATACCCTGTCTTAAAAAAAATAAAAGAGAAAGAAACAGAGAGGGAGGAAGGGGCCAGACATAGTGCTGCACATTTGTAACCTAAGCACTGAGGAGGCTGAGGCAGGAGGACTGCCATGAATGTGCAGCCAGTCTATGTTGCTGAGTGAGTTCAAGGTGAGCCTGAACAGTATAGCACCCTAATCTCAAAACACACACACACACACACACACGCACACACACACAAAAGAAATGATAAAAATTATGCATCATCTTTGTGACAAAAAGTTGAAAATTTTTATTGAAGATATTGTTGTTGGGTAGTTTCCTCAAAAATAGCTCACCAAACAAAAGTATTTCAGGTCTTTTTTGCCTCAAACAAAGAATTGGATAAGACAAGCCAAAAACAGTGCCAAAAGTTTATTTCAAAGGTTAGGCATGAAGCAGTAAGTGGAAAACTGGCTCTTCAGAGTGAACTTGGGCTGATCAAAAGAGGAAAAGAGAAAAAAGATCCAGGGTGGACTACCATGAGGAGTCACGACAGCAAGGTCCTGGTGGCATCTGGTCTTCTTTGTACCTTCCACATCTCATGGGAGCCTGCCAAAAGTTCTACATATATGGTCTTGAGAATCATCTGGCACTGCTCTGGGGTCTTGTAATTTATAGGTCCTTCCCACTTCTCCAGCCAGCTTGCCACATCGTACCTTCTATATTAATAACGAAAGACTCTTCAAGTAAGCAGGAGTTGGACTTGGTGCAAGGTTGAAAAAATCCAATATTCAAACCACGACAGTCATCACCAGACTAAACTATGAAAGCAGTATCTCCCTACAACAAACCACTGGAGGAATTTTACTAGAGTATTGTGGCAAAGCAGAACAGCTCAGTGTCACAACCAAGTGCCATAGCTCTGAGGCACAGCTGCATGTTACAGCTCAGTGTTACAGCTCTGGGTCACAGCTATCACGATTTGAAGACTCAAGAATCTGACGGTCACTTGAAGAGGTGGAGAAAAACCTTTATTATGCTGCCAGGCTCCAAGAAGTTCATACTCTGAAGTCTGAGCACCTCAATAGGAATGAGAGATTCCTTATATAGGGATCTACAGGGCAAGTGAGCATGCTCACTAAAGCAGAGGGGCAGAGTTACAGAACATTCCTGAGAGGGCACTTCATACAGTTACAAAACATTTTGATATGTTGGGCAGGAGTGCAGCACAACCATTACACTTCTGGAACAAAACATTCTGTGGGAAAAAAAAAAAAACATGGAGACGAGGCAAGGGCCTGCCTTATTATATAGTATTACTCTATCAGTATGACAAACAGTTCCTGTAAGTCACACAAAAGAGGGTAGCTACTGAAGTATCCAAGTCCACTCCTTAAGAAACAAAAGGAAAAGGAAATCAGAATTCCTCTACCAGAGTAAAAGCTCTCCTAAATTCCAGTAACTAAGCAACCCAATGAAGAGAACAAAAGAAAGGTCCAAAAGTGCTGGGTGCGATGGTGCACACCTGTAATCCCAGCACTTTGGAGACTGAGGCAGGAGGATCTCTGTGAGTTTGAGACCAGCCTGGGCTACCCAGTGAGTTCCAGGTCAGTCTCAACTACATAGTGAGATCCTGTCTCAAAAAACAAACAAAAATAAATAAATAATTAATTAATTCAAAAAATAAAAGGTCCACATGGACTTAGACTAGGCCTAATTTGATTAAGTGGGAAAGGTGGCTTCAGACTTCAGAAGAAGTATGTATTCATCTTGCCACCTTTTCAGATGGAAAAAAACCCCTGCAAATCTTAATGCATACATATTCTCAAACACACATTATATACTGCAGATGAACAAAATATCTATATGTGACCACACAAACACACACACCTTGAGGATGACTAGAATACAGAACAAAAGAATACCTTTGATTCATCAGGGTAAAGAAGAGTGTCTTCACACAAAAGGCACAAAACACAGATTTAAAACATCTGAATATATCAAAATATCACTAATGGTTCTGTACACTATGAAACATAGAAGAAACACATCCTGGGGTGTGGGTGAAGCACAGGGTCTCCAGAGTGGCTCTGTGGGCTTCCCTGTATAACCAATAACTATTCAACAATAAACACCTACTTTGGGGGATTGTCCCATCGATTATGCCCAAAGCAGGCTGTAAGCAGTGCAGGCTGTCAATAGTGAACCCTGGAACTGCCTTATTTTAAGAAGTGAGTCTGACCAAAACATAAGGCAACATACAGCCAGGGTCAGTGATTCTTACCAAAATTTCATTCCCAGACTAACACAAAAATCCTTTGTCTCTTTTTTTTTTACAAGTTTTGCCTGCATCAAGATATCCCTATCAACCACACATAGTCCCCTTACCCCAATTTAACAATGATGTGTCACCAGTAAATATCAGCAGTTCTGGCCTTTTGGGGTCTTTGCAGTTTGCTCAACACTGGTCATCCTGGCTCCCCGTTTCTCTCTCAAACTCTGTCCCTATGTCTTTCTTCTCACCATTCAACATAACACCAATCAAGAGATCGAGACTTGCCACAGGGGTCTCTGACAACTTACTACTCCTAAATTCATCTAAACAAACCATAAATTCACATTCAGCATCAAACAACTATAACTTGTTCCAACACCAGAAGAAGACTTAAGCATGTTTCCCACCTTTAGCAGGCAGGATTGCCATGAGTTTGAGCCAGTCTGAGTTACAGTGAATGCAAGCCCAGCCTAAACTACACAGCAAGACCTTGTCTCAACAAGCCCACCACAACAACAAAATTGTTTGACTGGAAAAAAAGAACAGCGTTGAGGTTAGTGAAGTCACTGTTCCACTTAAGATTTAAAAGAAATATCACACTACACTCCATAAATATGTAAATACCTATATGTTATTTAAAAGTAAATATATATATTTTTAAAGACATTATGTATCCTCAGGACACTGAGAGGCTGAGGCAAGAGGATCACAAGTTCCAGATCAGCTTGGGCAATTTAGTAATAACCTATCTCAAAATAAAAAAATAAAGTAATGGAAAGGTAGCTCAGTTCAAAGGCCCTGGCTTTAATCTCCAATACCACCCCTACCCCCAAAAAAGGTAATATAATTTTTAAAAGAAATCTTTAAGAACTATAAAGATGAAATAGCCAGGTACGGGATGATGTATGTAATCCCACCACCTAAGAGGGATGGCATGGGAGGATCATAAATTCAAGGCCAACCTGGGCTACATAACAAGAACTGCAGATTTAACTAACAAGAGAAGAAGGTGCTAAGTAAAAGAGCAGAAATTCTTCAAAATGAAAATAAGGAAATAGCTAAGAAAATGATGAAAATCTAATTTGCTATTTGAAGATTAGTGAAGTAGACATATCTTCAGCAAGACTATTTTAAAAAGCAAGTAACAGAGGCCAGGAATTTAGCTCAGTGGCACCGTGCCTGCTTTGCAAGCAAAAGGTTGTGCGTTCAATCTCTGGTACAAAAAAGAAAAAGCAAGCAAGTAACAAAGAAATAATATCAGTTGTGAAATGGGAACTAAACTAAGAAGCAGTAGACAGTTACCAAAATAGCAAGGTTGGCATTATCTTAGGAACGCAAGGACTGCAAACATTAAAACATCTACTGATGCAACTGCCCATATTATCAGATTAAAGTAGAAGATAGCTCGACACATTCACAAAGTTCTCTGAAGAAATCTCATCTGCTGTGTAACTAGGACAATCTTTACGTAATACCAGTAAGAGAGTAAAAATGATTTTTTAAAAAGTAGTACAGGATGTTCCCACCCTCCTAAGACACTAGCAGCCCATTTTATGGGTTTCTGTTTCCGGGGAGACAGTGTCTTTCCTGTCCTGGCCCTTTAGGATGAAGTTCTATGCAATGGCGGGTGCCTTCAGCAGGAAAGAAGGGTGAAGCTGAGTGTGGTGGTACATTCCTGTAATCCTAGCTCAGGAAACTGAGACGGGAAGGTGACTGTGAGTTTGAGGCCAGGATGAATTATGTAGTACTATCCTTACTCATAAAAATAAAAATAAAATAGGAATTAGGAGTGCAAAGAGGGAGAGGATGTCTTTGAATCTTTTTGGTGAACCAAGGTTTCTTTCTTTCTTTCTTTCTTTTTTAATTCTCTGGCTAACAGTAGGTTTCTGGAGTTTTTCTGACTTTACCTATTGCATGTTTTACCCTGCTCTTGTGTAAAAGTGGGAAAAACACTAGGACCAAAAAAAAAGCCACAACCATACCTTTTGTTGTTTTGTTTTTTGGTACTGGAGATAGAATTCAGGGTCTTTTCACTGAAGTACATCCCTTGAAAATGCCTCCTCCTTTTTTGAGACAAGGTCTTAGTCACTAAGTTGCCCAGGCTGGTTTCAAACTAGTCATCCTCCTGCCTCAGTTTCCCAGCATGGTGGGATTGTACATGTGTCCCACCATGCCAGGCCACAACTGTATGAAATACATATCATTACCATCAACTATGATCAAAGATTTGACAATAATCTGTATTTAATATACCAATCTACCTGCTAATGTTAAATTTTCAAAGTTCTTAAGTAGTTATTTTTAATATTCTGGTCATAGATTTCTGTGGCAGTCAGTAAGAGAGATGGGCTATAATTAGCTCTGTTATAAACAATGTCAGAAACAACACTAAATTTTAGACAAAACCCCAATCACAGGAAGCAGATCCATGTTGCCCCTCAGTCTTGGGTGGGAGGAGGAAACTCAGCTACCTAGGGGCACAAGGAGCTCTTAGAGTGATGGAAATGTTCTCTCTTGATTGTGTAAGTGGTTGTAGAATTGTACACATTAATCAAAACACACAGAACTGTATACTTAAAGGGAATGCAAATTTATTTTTGAGTGCTAGGGATTGAACCCATAGCTTTCACACTAAGCTACATCACCTACTCCTTTTTTATTTTTCATTTTGAGACAAAGTCTCACAAAATTGCTAAATTGCCCACATTGGGCTTGAACCTGTGACCCTCCTGTTAGAGTGCTGGGATTATAGGTGTGTGTCACCATGCCCTGTTCACTCAGCTTCTTAGACTTGTAAATAGTTCATTGTGGAAAGACTTTACAGATGAAATCTATGTGGTTAATTGGAAAAGTTTTAAACAAACCTAGGCTGATGGAAGGCATACAGAGGGCCCGTTTAAATGTAAGGAACGTGGAAAAGTATACGCAGATCTCCTGCCATTTTTTTACTCACACTGCTCAACCCCACAGCCACCCTTAAAGTGAGAACTGACTTCAGGATACACATATTTAGACATCAGAAAAGTCATACTGAAGAAATATCACATACAAGGAGTGTACGCAGAGGTTGTCTTAACTATGAGTAACCCTCTCGGGAGATAGTCCTTCCACATGTGTTGAGCACGGGCATCTTTCCTGAGAAAGATTCCCTTCAGCATGTTTCCAAACTCACACAGGAAGAGAATTCTATAAATACAATCTTTCACACTTTGTTCCTCCATTACTTAGCATCATGGATGCAATCAATGTGGGAAAGCTGTAGACAGAGCTCACTCCTGATGGTGCAGCATCAGAGAACTCATACTAGGGATGTCTTGTGTCTCTCCTGTGATGAATGGCCTTGTATATTCTCATGTATCCAATGTAAAAGGGCTCACCCAGGAGAATTCCAGGAATTTGTGTTTGCAGGCTCTCAGTTGTATCTTTTATCCTATTTTACACAGAGAAATTCATACTCATTAGAGAAACTCACTGAACATAATCAACATGGGAAAACTATTGGCTGATACTCCGTTTTATTGGATATCAGAAACAAACCAAAAAGGAAGCAAAAGCCCCAAGGTATTTTTGATCCATAAATATACTACTCACATATACTGATGCTATGTGCACAAAACTTCCTGCAGTCACAGGAAGAAGCTGTGAACAAATCTACTCTATATGTTTCCTTGATTTGCCATAGAAACACTATGTGATAGGACTCAGGGTTTAGATCTCATAATGTCTCGTAGATATGACTGCCATAGATGATCAAGTGTAAATGTTATCAATGACAACAGCAGGTCCATCTTTCTACATCATGTATCAGTCAGAGAACCACCAATTTTGAAAACTTATGCGAATCATGGAAACCAATATATACATATTTTTCATATTCAAAGAAGAAGGTTGAATGGCATGCCGTTCATATTTTCCACTTACACTCCACATGTGGTCACTTCAAAAAAATCAGAGTTTATGCTAACTTACCAATATTTTGTCAGTGGCATTCTGTTTATTTAAAGAGAGGTATAATAAAAATTGTGTGCAACTCATACTTCAAACATCATTTTCAGCGTCCGGTAAGATGAAGAAGACATACCACAGCCTGATAACATCTTCAAACTCTGTGGATCATGCATAGCTTACAAGCTTCACTGAAAACCCTTTTCAAAATGGAGGGCACAAACAGGATTGATTTTCTCTTCTGAATCCTGGATGTTATAAGGCAAAGAGCCAGGGATTTAGCTCAGTAGCACTGCATCTGCCTTGCAAGTATAAGGTTGTGAGTTCAATCCCCATGCCAAAAAAATAAAATAAAATAAAAGACAAGAAACAACAACAAAAAAATCCTCTAATTTTAGAATTTTATACTCCATAACAAAGATATCATTTGTGTAGAGAAGAGAATAAGTATTTACAGACTTGTTCAGAAAAAACTCCCCAAGTTAACAAAATACTAATCATAACAGAAGTATGAACCATGTCCCCAAAATATATATGAAAGGATGTGTGAAGAATCTTTAGTCATAAGAAAAAACTGGATACATCCCAGAAGTCCCTTGATAGCCAGGCATGGTGGCACATACCTGAAATCCTAGCACTCCAGAGGCTGAGGTAGGAGGGTTGCCATGAGTTCTAGGCCAGCCTGAATTGAATTACACAGCAAGTCTCAAAAAAAGTACCTCAATAATTAGATAAATGGACAAAACATGGGACATCAACACAGTAGAACCCTCTCAAGCAGTTAAAAAAATGAACTACTGGTACACACCGCAACTTGGAAGAAACTAAAAAGCAATGAGTGAAAATAGACATAAAACAAAAAAATTAGTTGGGTTACCTCTGTGATACTGCCCAGGGAATGTATGGGGTCTAGAAATGGAACAGAGTTTTGATCTGTGTGATGGACATATGTGTATGAATGTAAAAATCCACTGAGCCAGGTGTGTTGGTAGAGGTCTGTAATACTCTGGGAGGCCTGAGGAATTCAGCTGCTTAGTGAGACCATCCCAAAATAAAAAAGGATGAGGATGTAGCTCAGTGTGAAGTCCTGGTTTCAATCCCTAAGTAGCAATAAATAAATATGGTGGGGATGTACTCATGTGTTCAACCCTCAGTACCACAAGGGGGAGAGGATAAGGATAAAGGGAAATCTTAAGACAAATTTATTCTTATCATTCTGGAGGTGGAAGTATGAAGTCAGTGTCACTGAAAAAATTCAGCAAGGTTGCACTCTCTGAGAGGCTCCAGGAGCTAATTCATTCCCTGCCTCTTCTAGCTTCTGATGATTGCTGCCATCTTTGGCTTATGACAATGTAACTCCAATCTCTGCCTCGTTGGGTCACATCACTTTCTCCTTTTCTGTGTAAAGGTAATCAATGCTTCTGTGCCTCCCTCCAATAAAGACATGTCATTGATAATGTAATCAAGGATACTCTCATCTCTAGAGGCTTAAGTATTACTGCAAAGACTTCTTCTAAGAAAGTAACAATCACAGGATTCAGAGATTAGGACCTGCCATCCTTGGGAGCCATTTTTCAGCCTGCCACACTCTCCTAAACTTTAATAAAAACCCTGGGCTTCACTCCTAGTTTGAATTCATTCCTTCAACCCAGTCACCATGGAAAGAATACTTGCACGAATTGCCATTAGCCAAAGCACGTGCATGTCCCTGGATTAATCACTGAGGAAAAGAAGGAGAACATGCAGCTCCAAGCCAGTGAGGACCATCCCCTGGAGCTGAGACAGAGACAACCACATCCACAGCTTCCCTAAAGGGTACGTGCTGTGCTCGTGGGGAAGGAGGAGTGGGGTTGCTTCACACATAAACTGAAGATTCCTCTCACCTTGAGATTCTTTGAGGTGCTAGCTTCTTTCCTGAACACAAGAGGGAGCTCAGACTCTACCCTTACCCTCCCTGGTGCCAACTTGCTTTCCAACACTCACTGGAACTCCTACCAGGGTCCCCATCTCCTACCTGCTCCCTGGATATTGTCTTCATTCCAGATCTCTATTCACAAATCCAAAAATAGCCAGCAAATAAATATAGTTCTCTCCTAGACTCTCCAGAAAAGCATCCTTGATTTTTGCCCAGTAAGCAAATTTTGAACATTTCACTTCCAGAGTTGTCAGATAATTTATTTCTATTTAAAGTCACCCAATTTTGGTATCTGCTACAGTGACAAATGAAAGCAAATACAGCCCCCTTGAGACCATGAAAACCTGAGCCTTAGAACCAACCAAGACGATACACTGAGCAAGCCTAAGCCCAAAGATGGACGTGTCTTTAGCGTAGGAACCAGCCCTGGAGGCCCCTGCCTCTGGGTTTCACACAATTTAAGACAAGAAGTGGTGGCATTTTCTGTTACCTGCAGTCAACAAAATATCTTATGTAGTAAGTTTCCCTTGCTACCCATCAGTCATTTTGAGCCAGGATCTGGGCTTCCTAGGGGCAGCCCTCAGAAGAGACCAGGACCTCCAGGCAGGATAACCCTCACTAGCCCGGCTCAGAGTCACTCCTTGTGAGATGGACACCACAGAGAAGAGAGACTTGCTGTGTTCAGTAGAAATGACCCAGGAGTCTCAGCTGCAATTTCAGGGGCACAGCAACCCAGTTGCAGATGGCAAAAAGATAATCCAGAGTCCCATGTCTTGAGTGAAATCAAGCGGCAGGAAGCAGTGAGTTGCAGTTTTTGTTTTTGTTTAGGTACTGGGGATTGAACTCAGGACCTTATGCTTGTGAGGCAGGCAGCGGAACCACTGAGCTAAATCCTGGCCTTCTTTGTTTTTCTATGGTACTGGGGATTGAACCCAGGGCCTTTGCGGTGAGCTACATCCCCACCCCTTTTTAATTTTTTTCTATTTTGAGCCAGGGTCTCAATCACCAAGTTGCCCATGGTGACTCAAACTTGCAATCCCCCTGCCTCAGCCTTTAGAGTGCATCACCACACCCAGCTGGAACACTTTTGAACTAGCAATTTCTGTGGACATTTCTCAAGTTTGAATCTAATTTGTTCCTGTGAAAACTAGCAGTTCCTTCCCTCACAATTTGAGGAGTGGAGTACAAAGCTATGTAGAACCAGACCTCTCAAAAGGCTGCATTGTAATTTTATTTGCTATTTTTGGGGGGTCTAGTGATAAATTTGGAAAAACTGACACTTTTAAACATTGGCCTTCCTGTTCTGGAACATAAGCATTCTCATCTCTGTAAGCTTACAATTCTTTCTAGAAACCTGTTTTCTCATAAATCCTCTGCATTTCCCCACAGACTAATTTCATTTTTTCTGATACTACTATAAAAGTATTTTCCCCAATATATTTGTTACAGTTACTGAGAAGACTTTGTTCATACATAATTTGAGTGTTGATTTATGTCAATTTGCTTCTCATTCTGCCTGGTTTATTTTGACCTGGTTGGGGTTGTGTGGAGAGAGGATGGGGGGAGGGAGGCAGGGATGCAGGGAGGGGGAGAGGGAGGGAGGAAGAGAGAGGGGAAAGGGGGGTGCAGTGCTCAGGGCCTTTGCCCTGAGCTACAACCCAGTGAGCTCAATAAGTCCCTAAGGTACCCAGGACAATGAATTTGGGATCTTGTCTCCCAGAGTTGGAATTTCAGACATGCACTATTACTGTGGTACTTACGCCTGTTTCATAATCTTATTTGTCGCTAGAAATTTTAAAATTCAGATTGCTGAGAGCAGCTTTTCATCTTTGGCTTGGATGTATATAGCCTCTCAGGACTGTTGATCAGAATATGAAAAAGATTGAAAAAAAAATAGAAGTTAATTTTCATCAGAGAAGAAAAGGCAGACTTCCCAAGACAAGGATAAATACTGGTGGGTTATATTCAGGACCGGCAGTTAATATGTATCCAGCTTTTTTTTTGCATTCTAGTAGGCAAAAGATAAAGACATCCCCAAAATGGGGATGGCAAGAGGGGAGGAGGGAGCCCAGTCCTGAGTGACATCAGCTCTGAGTGGTAGGGAGCTGCATCAAGAATCAAACACTTGCAGATTTCCCATTCTGGGAAGAAACATTTTTATGTGGCTTTTCAGTGCAAGAATATGAACTGGATTATTCCACACCCTCTTCACTGGTGTGTCCTGCATTCTGTGGACTGCACATTACACCTTCAAGCAGACCATTTTCTGGATGGAGGATGTTCTTAGACTCTGCTCACAGCTCAAATTCTTTGGTGTTTCGCTTGTTTTGGGTCCAGTGTACATTATTTTGTTGACCTTATCTTTGACGTTGGAGGCAAGGAGGTAAAGAACACACAAATAGCAGTAATGACCAAAAAGCCCCTTTTCTGAGAAACAGCCACAATAACACTAGTTTCCACGTAAAATTCAGACAAAATTTTAGACTAACTGCAACAACAAACAAGTGAAAAGGTGTAGCCCAAGAGTAGGTCGTTTCCACTGTGGCAATAAAAATTAACACTCCCTGGGACCACTTTAGCAAGCAGTGAGCAAAGGAGCATGGGCAAACGCAGGGCTCCTAACCCCTTGGAGAAACCCTAGGGCAGAGAAGGACGGTGGTCAGTGAGCCCTGAACTCAAGCAGAAGCGAGAGCATTAGAGGCTTGGTCTCGTGGAAGCCAAGAGCACACCGGGCCAGGTGTCCTGCGAAGAGTACATGGAGAGTGATCTACGGGTTGCCCCAACTACAAAGTGAGGTAGTGGTCAGTGGTCCCTGCCACGCACACCCGCTCACGGGGGTCTGGGGTGCAGTGAACCCTGCGCTTCTATGCAGACCTGGGCTAGCTCTGCAGGCCAAGCCACCCCGAGACTGGGGAACGCTTAACCCCTCGCACACCTCTGGCCAGTTCTCCACTCCCAGAAACTAGCAGGGATCTCAGCCCGGGTCTCCGCACACTTCTGGTCTGCCAAACTTCCCCCAGACCCACCCCCGACCGGGGGGAACACCCGTTACCGCCCACCGCGTCCCTATTATACTCAGGCTCACTCCACTACCAGAGAGCCCGCTTCGGCCCTCTCCGCTCAGCGCCTGCGTAAATTGGAGCCTAGATCCGCCCCGTCCTGGAGCTGGGGTAGACACTGGCTCCGCCCACACGCTGGCTCCGCCCACACACTGGCTCCGCCCACACACTTCCCGTCCGCGCCGTCCTCGCCCCTAGTACTAAATAGGCCCGCCCCTCCTTCCGTAATAATCCCTCGGAGGGCAAGGTCGCCCCGACCAACGCCCTCGCCACTTCCGACCCTCCCCTCTTCGCTCCTCCCCTTCCCTCAACTCAGGTACGCCCACACGTGGTCAACCTTGGGGTGAAGCACGACTCCTTCCCGGCCTTAGTCACCGCCTATGGAGGTGCTGGGCGGTGGCAACCTACCACAGGTATCTTTCACCCGAGTCCTCCCCCTCGCCGTTAGGCAGTCTATGATAACCGGATCACTGCCTATCGCCGCTTCGCCGGCCGCCCGGACGGCACCTCAAGATGGCCGCCACAGGGTGCGCGGGGGCATCTGGGAATTGTAGTCCGTCCAGCGCGCTGACGTATTTCGCCGCGGCCGTTAGGCGCCATTGTGCGGCACGCGCCGGTGAGTACGGGGTGGGTAGTTCACGACGGGAAGCACAGGTGGAGCTCAGCCTCGAGGGTGACGTGCGGGGCTCGGGGAGGTCCGGCGACGTGAACGGGGCGTTCCTGCGGCTGAGGGCCCTCGGTGCCTCCCTCCCTGAATTGGCCCGCCGTCCCTTCCTCGGTTTCCCAGGATTCCGCTCGCCGCGAGGGTCGCTAAGGACGAGAACAGCATGCTCGCCAGGCTGCCGAAGCCGTGGTTCTCTGTGAGTAGCGGCGTCTGGGTTCTGAGCCCTCGCCCCCGAGGGCAGCTGGGGGTGGAACTGCCCCTCACCTCTGGAGGCCCCAAGAGGAACCCCGCCTGCGGGAGTAGCTGCTCTGCTCTCCGGGGGTGGATCTACGAGGGCGGGCAAGGACTTGTCCAAGCAGGGATCAGGCTCATGCTTACTCAACATCGACTTTGGGATCAACCCTGAAGTGAAGCTGTACCAGGTGGGACACTTCTGTAATCCAGCAGGGAGGCTGTGGCAGGAAGATCGGAGTATCGAGCCCAGTGTGGGCAATTTGGAAATTTATGAGATCCTGTCGCAAAATTTTAAAATAAATAAAAAATTTTAAAGGGCTGGTGATGTAGCTCAGTGCAAAGGCCTTGTGTTCAATCCCCAGTACGGGGTTAGGGTGGGGTGTGCGTTGAGTTCAATAACGAAAGAAAGAGGTGGAGATGGATCCCTGACAGGTGAAGGAGGTAGAAGCAAGAGGACCAGAGGTGGGGGATGCAAGCTTGAGTGTGATGATTCAGTTCAGAAAATTCCCTAGGAGATAAATATGTGCACACCAGTCTTAAAATCACATCTTCAAATTAAATGAACAGGTTTTCACAGACTAGGGATCTCATTTGCAGTCCTTACTGTGCCCTGAATAGGATCAAGCTTAGGTTTCCTCAAGGTGTCAAAGATAGGCGCTTAAGATGAGACAGGAAGAAAGCTCTCAGGTTATCATCCCCCCCACTCTTTCTGTCACCATGGAGAAGGTTCTGCCCAGGCTGAACAGGATCCTGTGGGTTTTAGGAACCGGTGGTCTTTGAAGATATAACACTGGCTTTTACCCCGGAGGAGTGGGGACTGCTGGACCTCAGACAGAAGTCCTTGTACAGGGAAGTGATGCTGGAGAACTACAAGAACCTGGTCTCAGTGGGTAAGGCTGGTCTCCATGCCAGAGATCTGTGCTTTGTAGCAACAGAGGTGTTGTGAAGGTGTCTGCTTGGGCTCAGGCTTCAAAGCGTGAGTGGAGGGATTTAAGCATGGGGCCTGAGAGGGCTTTTCCTGGATCCACAGGAAAAAGGCAGTTTTTCAGTATGACTTCTGAAGCTTCCCTGAATCTATTATCCCTCTGAATACTAGGGTTGGTTTATTGGGGATATTTTCAGCTGTTAAAGTGGATGCTTTTTGTTTTTGTAATGGTTCTACGGGGTGAGGTATTAGTGTCCCAGAGCTCAGATATATGCTGTGCTCATCAAAGATTCTGATCCCTTTTGCATCTGTGGTTCTTGTGAACCTTTCTGTTGTCTGGCTAGTCGTTACATAACTGGTTCCAAGCTTTGTGTTTGTGTTGAAGGCAGAAACAAGGGAAAGGGACAATCTCGTCCAGCTCTTTCGCTGCTGGTACCTTTAGCTAGAAAGCAGATGCTTTCCCATACTGTCATACTTTCACCCCCAGCCATCTCTGTTCTCAAGGGAATCTAGAAAATCTGACAAAAGGGATAGATATGATCTATGTGACTGTTGTAGGACCAAAGTCATACCGTAGCAGGGCAGAAACCAGAGACAGTGTGTGTTGCACCAGGATAGCATTTTTTTTTTTCCTGAACACAGACCTCCCCAAGTACTATCTCTTTTCCCTTGAGCAGAACATCAGCTTTCCAAGCCAGATGTGGTATCTCAGTTAGAGGAGGCAGAAGACTTCTGGCCGGTGAAGAAAGAGATTCTTCAACACACAATTCCAGGTGAGAACCAGGCACATGGGAGTTCTGCAGGGCACAAGCCTGCTGATTAGACAGAGATTGGTCTTAGAAAAGAGGTGTGGAGAGTGAGAACCAGGTGAGGTGCTACGGTGAAGCTCAAGCTCCAAGCTTTCCTCTGGCCTTGGCAGTGTCCTACTTGGTTGAAAGTGAACCTGTTGTTAGTGGCCAGTAAGTTCATGTGTTGACCATGGAGTCCTTAGCTTTTTCTATTAGTTGTCTACTGTTCTTTCCTCGTACTTTCATTTATAATTCTGATGTGTTCTTTTGGCCAGATTATTGGGGGATTGGTTTTTGGTTTTGCAGGGGGTTTGTTTTTTGTTTTGAGACAAGGTCCCACTGTGTAAGCCAGGCTGACCTTGAACTTGGGATCTTCCTGCTCAGCCTCCTGAGTATTGGGATTAGTTATGAGCCACTATGCCCAGCTAGGCAGGCTTTTCTTACATAAGTGTGTATGTAAATACATGTTCACGTTTAAGTATTGAACATAATAGAAGCAGATTTACATCATTTCTTTTAACAGCTCCCATGTAATCCATATTTGATTTCTCATATCTCAAATCTCTTTGTGGATAGTCAAGTTAATTGCAAAGAACTACCTTGTATACATTTTTCTGCATGTATAAGTTGATTTTCCTGTAGGTTGGATTTCTAGAAATGGGTCCATAGGATTTACTAACATGTAAGTTAAAATAAATGGTTGTCACTGGTCATAGTGGCACATGCCTGTAATCCCAGCACTCAAGAGGCTGAGGCAGGAGGTTCACTGAGTTCAAGGCCAGCGTGAGGTACCTACCAAGACCCTGTCTCAAAAACAAAAAAGTTGCTGACTAAAATCCTTCATAATAAGGTCATTGCTGAAGTACACCAGCAGTCCTTGTCACCACCAGTTTGTAATGGTCTTTTTAAGGTTTGCTTAACTATAGGCAAAGGAGAATGTGTGTGTTTGATGCAGTTCACATTTTTCTCATGACTGACAAAATGACTCATTTTTGTGGGCTCAAATATTTAACCCCCACCCCTTTATTTTTCTTTCTTCCTCTTTTTCTTTTTTGTATTTTACTAGGAATTGAAAACAAGGCCTCACATGTTCTAGGCAAGTACTGTACATTTCTAACCCTTTTTTAATTTATTTTACATTTTGAGACAAGATCTTGCTAAGTCTAGCCTGGACTGAAATTTGCAATCATTCTGCCTCAGCTCCCTGAGTAGCTGGGATTACAGACATGCATCATTATGGATCTTGTTGCGGGGTGGTATCTTATGTATTTTGGATATTAGTACTGAAATAATATATCTCAGATCGCCAGCTGTGGTGGTGTACACCTATAATCCCAGCACTTGGGAGGCTGAGGCAGGAGGATCGCTGTAAGTTCTAGACCAGCCTGGACTACATAGTGAGTTCCAGGTCAGTCTCAACTACATAGTGATACCCTGTCTCAAAAAACAAGCAAACAAACAAAAAATCGGATCAACATTTTTGTGTGTGTTTGGATCTTTGAAGATGATTGCACTGTATTCTAGCCTGGCCTGGAACTCAGCGATGATCCTCCTGCCTCAGCCTCCTGAGTGCCAGGATTGTAGATGTGCACCACCATGCCAGCTCTGTTGTATTTTTAAGTATAATAGTCTTTATACAGAAGATTTTGTTTTTGAGACATGGTTTTTCTGAGTTTTCTAGGCTGGGCTCAAACTTGTAATCCTTCTATCTCAACATTCCCAAATGCTGGTATGCTGATATTGCAGGTGTATGCCACCCTCTGTGCAGAAATTTTGTAATTCAAAGAAGTTTCTCTTTTCAGTTTTGCCCTTACATATTTGTTTTGATGCTGCCAGTACACTGACCTAAATCCCTAGCTCCTTGTGTTTGTTTTTGTACTGGATTTCTTATGTAGGCAGATTGTCCAAATACTTCCATGTATTCAGGCATTTTTTGTTTTTTATTTAGCTTTAATTTATCTGAAATTTTCTTTAATATATGGTATGGGGTCAAGTTCTTTCAACATCATTTTCTGAAAAAGATCTCCATTTATTGGAAACGCTAGCTTTGCATGGATTAAATTATGGTTGTAGAGCACAGGCCCTTTGTGGGCTCCTTTGATCTTGTCTCTCTGAGGAAACACCGTGTTGCTGTCCCAATTACAGCTTTATAACAAGCTTGGATAAATGTTAGTTCCCCTGGTAGTGTGAAAACAAACAACTTCTTAGTTGTCATTGGCCATCTAGTTCTTCAAGTGAACACTTACATTAGCTTGTCTGGTTTGAGAAAAATCTTGCTAGAATATAATTTTTGATTGGGCTGCACTGGTGTTATCTGATCTGTTACTTGATTCTGAGTCTTGCACAACTGTTCCAGATGAACTTGTCATACTGCTAAATTCTCTTGTTGTTTATAACAGTTGTTTAGATTCTCATTAGATTTCCTGGTAGAGTCACTTTACCAAGGTGTATAAAAGAAGAGGCAGTTATAGTTTTATTTTTCTTGAATAGTCTTGTAATATAGTTGGTTTCATCACCAGTGGTATTTCAAAACATGTTGATAACATGAAGAGTAGATATGTAGTCCAAGGTAAATTGGAAAGGTTTTGGGTTTTCAAGAGCATGATTTTGGATTCTATTTTCTTTTGAATCAGTTTTTATCTCAACGATTAAGGTCATCTTGCTTTTTCTGATGAATAAAAGTGACTAAATTCCCATTTTCCCTTCCAGACCCTTTCAAGGTAGGCCTAGGAAATTTTTCCTTTGAGTAGTTCTGGTGGTGTAGTAGACATGGAACTGTCTTATAAGATGTGACCATGAGATGGGAAAGGGCTAGACACTTTTTAGCAAACATAAAATTGTCCAGTGAATTCAGGATAGGTAACTAGAGCATGAAGATATGCAAGCTATGTTTAGCAAAACCCACAAGGCCTCATGAGCTGTGAGAGAAGTTTGATTTCAATTCTTGAGCAAGGTTGTGACATGGCTTTTCATAGTAGTTTGTAAGAAAGGCACAGATGGAGGTAGACAGGAGGCTGTATGTAGTATCATCTAAGGGAGAGGTGGTAATACTGGCCTGAGAGAGTAAGTAAGTAGTAGCAGGGTTGGGAAGAAGCACAGTTTAGTTGATTCTCAGGGGACTCAGTAGGACTAAGTAAGTAATTGGCCTAAGGGGACGGAAGAAAGTTGCTGGAAATTCCTCTTTGGCGAGCTAAAACATCATAAGATTTTCTGTGAGCTTTGTAATCTGAAAACATACAAATGTGGGGTTTTTTTGTATGTTTGTGACTTGTTTTGAAAATATGAGGGCGAAAAGAATTCCTAAATTTTTGTATTAGCCAATTACATGAAAAAGTCTGGCAAAGGCATAGACTGTTTTGTTGGGGTTTTTTATTGTGCCCCTCCCCCCAGGGCAGGGGATTGGACTCGGGAGGTGGTAGAACCACTGAGCTAAATCCCTAGCCCTTGCATAGTGCATAGACTTTTTGAAGAGCAGAAATACATGGAGTGGTGTTTTTTTTTCCTTTTTATATTGAAATATATTTTTAGCCAAAAGTTGCACTAACCATGCAAATAAATAAGCTTGATTTAAGTGTTTGAATCAGTCCATGTTATTACTGGTTCTGTCAGTGAAATATGACTGAAGGGATCATAGGAATAAGCAAAGAGGTTTGCAGAGCTAGTTGAATGCATCTCTGTAGACTTCAGAAGTGGGTTCATGGAGCACATACAAATGTGAGAGTTTTAGAATGGCATATTTTACCATTGAATGAGACATCCACCCCCTGCAGTAGCTTTTCCCCCAACACTAGAGTGGCTTTGCCTCTTGTTAATGCACAGAACTGGTTTTTAATGCAAAGATGGATCTTTTTGGAAACTCAGCTTTGGGTGCATCTCTAGCTTTCCATCATAGTAAGATGATAGCAGGGACTTTAGAAGTAGAAGGAAAAGTGGATAAATGCTATGACAAATGAAGTTCGTCCTCAGGAAAACACTGCATCAGGCAAGATGCTGTCAAGATAATAATGATGGTCAGTACTCAAAATCGTCAGTACTCATATCTGCTGTCACTTAGTGTCCCCTTTAAGAAAAGATTGCCACATGCATGGCTCTTCAGTGGAACACTTGAAAGTAAACTGCGTTTAATCATTAGGAAAGCTGTGCAGAGAAGAGATAAGCCTACAGATCATTTAATGTTTTCAACTTAAAACATTAAAGAGGTGTAATCCTAGTACTCTGGGAGGTTGAGGCAGAAAGATCACAAGTTGGAGCCCAGCTTGAGCAACTTTGTGAGATCCTGTCTCAAATTTTTTTTAGAAGGCCTGGGCTGTGACTCAGTGGATTCAATCCCAAGTACTGAGGTGAGGGGAGAAAGCATCAAGTAAGCCTTGTAAATACGAATGTGGCAGCTATTTCAAACTTAGCAAAAATAACGAAGAGGACCTTTTTTTTTTTTTTTTTTGTACCAGGGATCTAACTTGTGTCCTTGCACTTGTGAGGCAGGCAGCAGAACCAAGAACCATTTATTTATGTGTTTCTGAAAGTAAGACAAATCCTTCTCTGGATTTCATCTTTCGTATAACCTGAGAGGATTCCCATAGGCTACAAGAATAAACTTGTGGAGATTGAAGGAAATTGGCAGAACACAGTTTATATGTATAAACATAGTTTTGTACAAACAAAGTTTTATATAAAATAGTTCTTCAAAGAACGAGATATAATATATGTTTAATGTGAGAAAGCCTAATTTCAGTGCAGTGTGGTTGTCCTTATTTAAGAGAGCTCCTACAAGAAATTATCCCAGGGCCGGGGATTTAGCTCAGTGGTTCTACCACCTGCTTCATAAGCGCAAGGTCCCGAGTTCAATCCCTGGCACCACAAAAAAAAAAAGAAAAAAGAAAAAAAAAATTTAACCGATAAAGACCTTGGGTGGAAGTTTTTCATGAATTTTCAGTACCTTTGAAAAGCACAAAGTGGGGAGGGCAGGGACAAGGGGAAAAAGTGAGAGCCAAGACCTGTCATGTAAAGGTACAAGATCCCAATAATGAATGGAACTGTCCTGTATACCTAAAATGTACCAATAAACTCAATGAAAAGAAAAAGAAAGCACACAGTGAAGAAATCTCAGAAATGATTATGGCCTAACTCATTCTTACCTTAAAAGAATTCATACTGGATAAAAAAAAAATCCCAGTTGTATTGAATTTGGAAAAGCTCTTACACCAGATACTGTAATTAACATTTGAAAATTCTGAAACCATGAGAATGATTGCTGTGGGAATTGTTTCCTTACTCAGCATCAGGGTGGTATGGCAGAGAGCCTAAGAACAACCTAATACTAGGAAGGCTTCCAGTGTCAAAAAAACTCACTGACAAGCATCCCTGCAAACAGGACAGCATGGAAGCCCTTCAGTAGGAGTCCTCATTGAATCTGTGTCAGAGAACTCATATGGGCAGGGACCCTTGGAATGTCATCTCTACAGGCACATCACCAGCCTTGGCTCCTACCTTACCTGACAAAGTGAAAAGGCCTCATCTATTTTTATATCAGATGTGACACAGATGACAAACTACTACCTAAATAATATATTAAAATAGTAAAGTAAACTTATCTTTTACATTTTTTTCTTGTTACCAGATTTGAATTTGTAGAACAAGTATTAAATAATATAGATGAGAACAAGTACCCTTAGATCTATGTATGTCCCCATTGTGAGCACACGATGGAGTTCATTAAGCTACTACTGAGTGTGTTAATACCTCCACAAATTGCAAAAGAAGAGTGTCTTCAAAGAGGAATGTCTTGCTGGCTGTGGTGATCCACACCTGTAATCCTTGCTCTCTAGGAGGTTGAGGCAGGAGAATCAGGAGTTAAAGATGTGGAAACCTATGGATGGGGTAATTCACTGCTCGGTTGAAAGCCAGTATAATACCTGAAGCTGTGGATATATTACCAGACCCTATGTAGTACATATATGTTGGTTTTACCCCCATACTTGTATCCATGAGATAAACTTCTTACCTTTTCACAGCTTCTCTGACATATCCAAATGGCCAGCATTACTGCTTTTGTATTTTGAGGCCTTTGATTAAGTGAAGTAAGGCTTACCTGAACACTAAAGTACTGCTGCTGCAGTAGTCCACAGCTACTATATAGCATATGCAAAGGAATGATTGTCTTGGGCAGGAAGGAGCAAGATGGCATGAGATTGTGTTATCTTACTAAGAATGGCATGCCATTTAAAACTAATAAATTAAATCCTGGGATTTAGCTCAGTGGTGTCCTTGCCTGCCTCACAAGTTTAAGGTCCTGAGTTCTATCCCCAGTACAAAAAACAAAACAAAGGTAACAAATTATTTCTGGAATTTTCCATTTCATATTTTTGGACCATTACATTAGACACCATTTACTCATAAGAATTATTATACAGATCCATATGGGTGAGTGAGTAGATGAGTCACATTTGTGGCCTGGGTGGATCAGAAAGCAGGTTCACTTCTGCCGGCTGTGAATTTTAAGTCCTACCATTTTCTCCTCCTTGAAGTGGAACAGATAGTTTCCAGACATAGAGGGTGGGTGGTAAGGATTATCTTGAAGGGCTTGGAGTGTGGTTCTTGGGCTAAGAGGACTGAGGTGCATAAAATGACTGGGGTTCTACCACACCCAGCGGGTGTTTTATGATAACTGTGGGACTGAAGGATTACACAGGACAGAGGAGGGATGGTGGCTGCATATCCACTGTGCTCCCAGCACCTGTAGGACAGAGCTGCAGAGGTCCTGACATCCAGACACAGACACAGAGGCTCTAGCAGGACAGGTCTTTGTGGACACTGCAGCAGTTGACATTTCTAAGTGAGTCCTCAATGAAAGATGCTGAAAAACTACCTGAATGCCCCCAAGTACAAGATTAAAAGACAGGCAAATTGGATGAAATACAGTAAAGAAAGCCCCAACAGCTGTTTTCCAAGGGGCAATGCACTAAATAAAAGTCCCCCTTGATTAAGGAAACAAAATCTTTGAAGTTACTAAGCTATGAAGCAAGGGAGAGTTAAGATTAGTTTTAAGTGCCATTTATAATGGTCACTTAATGATACCTGTGTCCTGGTACAGATCTATCAGGAAGCCCAGATTCACCCAGGCACTTAGTCGGGTGCTATTGGGTCTCTAATAAATTCCTACCCCTGGCCTGTTGAGTTACCCTTAGGATAATTAAGCCTAAGAGCTATTAATGGAAAGAAAATAAACAATTTTTTAGTCGTAAGGGATGTGGGTAGGGGAGTAAACCCCTAGGAATCATAACAGGAAGGGAACTGAATAGCTGAGAAGTAATTTGGGCGACAAGCCCCCAGTTGAAAAGAGCTTATTTGTGGGGAGAGGTTGTCTAATTAATCTTAGTAAATGTAGACAAGAGACTTCTCATGGCTCAGAGTTAGAAGCCAGACACCTCCCCTGTCCATTTTGCAGCAATTTACATCACCTTACAGTCTGTCAAGTTAGTACCAGGAAGCCAATGCAGGCCACCATGGAGAGTCACAAAATTAGGGAGAACAAAAAGGAGAAGGATCTAGAAGCTAGGAGAAAAAGGGATTGGGGATCCAAGGCAAAGCACTGAGGGCTGCACTCCCTGAGCTCCGCATTCATACAGGGGTGCAAATACAAGTTTACTGTTGACATCATTTATGCCTTTGAGCATTGCAAGTATAATTAGGAGTCATATTCTCATTTGAGTTATTCTACTTTGGGGTGGGGGACTGGGTATCAAACTCAGGACCTTGCATTTGTGAGGTAGGAGTGGTGCCACTGAACTAAATTCCTGGCTCAAATTAGCATTTCTTTTGGGGAGGTTAGAGAGCTTTCTTAATTTACTGTTTTGTGCTCCTGAGGCATTTAGGCTTGACTTGGAGTTCAGTTCATCAGATGTGCTCTTTAGATGGCTATGCCAGGACCCAAAGCACCTACCTTTGCTAGGAATATTTGTTCTTGGCCCCAGTGGAGGCAGAAGTGGGTTCTTCTTGGGTTTTGTGCATATTCAGTGTTTACAGGTCTTAGCCCTCTTTATTTCTTGCTGTCATGTTTTAAACACCCTAAAGTCGACTCCTAAAAAATGAATGGTTTTTAGTATGTTCACCAAGTTGTGCAACCGTCGCTACCATCTAATTCCAGGCGACTTTTTAGCACTAAAAGAATTCCGTATTTGTTAGCTGTCACCTTCCACTTGCTTTAATTCTTCTACCTCTTGGCAGTCACTCATCTACTTTCTGTTGTAGATTTGTCTGTTCTGGATATTTCATATAAAATAACTACCACACGTAGTTTTTCATATCTGGCTTCTTTTACTTAGGGAGATGTTTTAAAGGTTCATCTGTGTGGCCTATTAGCATTTCATTCCTTTTTTATTGCCAAATGTTTGATTCTACAAAAGACCACACTTTGCTTGATGGTAATTTTATTTATGATTCTGTGACTTTATGATGGTGTAACCCTTGTGTATCTGATAGAAACTGTAATGTGATGTTTGATAAGTTAGATGCATTAAATGCATTTTTCAACTTATGAAATTTTGGATTTATGATCATAAGAGGTCTTCTATATTCATCATTTAACAGACATTTGTGGTATCTCATTTTTAGTTACTAGAAATAATGTTGTCAAAGTGTTTATATTCATGGGGGGCAGTTCCTGGGTTTTATGATAACCACATGAAACAGTTTAGCAGCTCCCTTAAAAGTTTAAAAACTGCTATAGCATTCTATATTCCTACAAAGTTCCTTTCTCCTGAGTGCTGGGTATTGAACCCAGGGCCTAGTATATGTTAGGAAAGTGCTCTACCACTGAGCTATAGCCCCAGCCCCATCATCCATCTTTGATAGTTGCCATCCTGGTGGGTATGGTTTTGATTGTGTTTTTTGATGGTTAATGACCTTGAGCATCTTTTCTTGTGCTTATAGGACATTTTGTGTTCCTCTGCTTTTCGTTTATAGAATGTCCTGGTGCTGAGGCTCCACTGGACTCTCAGTTGAGTCCTCTTCCTACTGAGAATCCCCTAGTAAACATCAAGGTTGTTGAGGTCCTCACCCTGAACCAGGAGGTGGCTGGTCCCCGGAATGCCCAGATCCAGGCCCTTTACGCTGAAGACTGTGGCCTGAGCACACACATCCTCAGGAAGCCAGCCCAGCAGCTGGGAACACATCCGGCCGACCCTGAATTTGCTCACCAGAGATTCCGGCAGTTCCAATATGAGGAAGCCATGGGTGCCTGGGAGGCTGTGGCCCAGCTCCGTGAGTTGTGCCACCAGTGGCTACAGCCCAAGGTACACTCCAAGGAACAGATCCTGGAGTTGCTGGTGCTGGAGCAGTTCCTGGGTGCACTGCCTGGAAAGTTCCGGACATGGGTAGAGTTGCAGCACCCAGAGGACTGCCAGGCGGCCATAGCCCTGGTAGAGGATGCGATCTCAATGTCTAAGGAAGGCGGTGAGTACGGTGAAAGGGTGGGGTGAGAGATACCTTCCAAGAGATTGCTAGAGGGCAAGGGAAGGACTGTTTCCACTCTGCAGACCAAAGGTGCCTGGTCCTGTATGTGTTACCCAGAATAATTGGAATCCCATGATGGCACCCCACACTGTGTTCTTTAACAAACCGTTCACAGGCTTCCAGTGGAGCTCATGGATACAGTACTTTGCTGTCATCCCTTTGGGGTCCAGGCCACACGTAGCTATCCACCTCTCCAAAAGGGCTATGGATGAAATGGTGATCATGGCAGAGCTTGCTAAGCCTGAGGCCCAGCAAGAAAGGCGGAGCTGTGACAAATGAATGTGCATGTGGCATTGATGGGGTGGGAAAGAGATCAAGGTAGTGGCAGGACTCGAGGCTTAGTCCCTGCAGCTGACACCTATGTGAACTAGAACATGTCCAGGTGAAGAAGTGGGCAGGGAGGATATGCCAAGCAGAGGGCCCAAGATGGAAGTGATCTCAGTACAGTATACATAAGTCAGGGAAATGTTGGGTAGATTTCCAGCAGAAGGAAACAAGATGGGACTGTCCTGTTAGGGTTCTAGTAGAGACCTTTTCATTTAAAAATGAGACTGCACTTCTGTTATTGCCCAGGGTATCCCTGAACTCCTGGGTGCAGATAATCCTCCTATCTCAGCCTCCTGAGTGGCTGGAACAACTACAGCACATACCAGTGTACCAGCTTGTAAAGATTTGCATGTTACTATGCTGTGGCAGTGGGAATTGTCCCTGAGTTGTGGGTGTGAGCAGCCCATTCTGATGTGTGCTTTAGTCTCCTGGCTGTAACATGTAGGGGTAGTAGACAGGACAGGGCACGGCAAGCACTGCGGGGGGCAGTGATTTGTGCAGAAGTAATAGTGTGTGGCATGTAGGTACTTTGGGATATATTTACAGGTGAGACTCTGAGAGTTGACTCCTCCATAAGGCTGAGTTTTAGGAGCATGAGTGCTCTTGTGTTGCTCATTTTCCATGTGCCCAGATGCCTAGAGATGTTTCTGGAGTGAAGAGATAGTTGACTGGTTGACATTTATGTTTGGAGGAGGAAGAGGAAGCAGGCAGGCACAAGCAGGAGCTTTCATTTAGGTGCACTTAGTGTTGTTGGCAGAGTCATTGCCCCAAAGCTGCTTATGTCTCAGAACCTGGACCAAAAGAGGATGTTACTTCACATGACCACAGGGACTTTATGGAGTCATGAAAGGGGATATGATATTGGAGCAAAGGTGATAACAGAGAAGGACCCATGATCCAAGACTTTGGAGCAGCCTGTAGAAGCTGAAAAGGCAAGGAATAGATCTTGCCCCTGGACCACAGAAAGCCCTGCTAACTCCTTGACCTTAGCTCACTGAGGCTCATACCAGATCTCTGATCTCTAGAACTTTAAAGTGATTTGTATTCATTTGAGCCACTAAATATATGGCAACTTATTATAGCAGCAATGGGGTAACTGAAACAGATATTAGGGAGGCAGTTGTAGAGCTCCTGAGATGACTCCCCTGTGTTTAACACCTCAAGAATGAACAGAGTCGTTTATAGTGTCACAGAGGAAGACGGGAGGAAGCCTCGTGGGAACTAAAAATAGTGCGTTTGTGCTCATTGTATTAGTTGGGACGCATTGGTGTGACTGCCATAAAACCATACACAGTGTCTCTAGGGAGAAGTAAATAGGCAAGTCCAGGAGGAAGAGACAACCTGCTACATCAGCCTGGGTCACATCTTGTGCTCCCTTGACAGTGGGTAGAAGTCCATGGACCATATGGGCACACATGAAGGCCAGATGTGAAGGAGCAGGGTTAGAGGCTGTGCAGGGCAGAGCAGGTGTTTCCTAAGGTGAGAGAGACGGGGTGACTGCACCAGTGGCCGAGACCCATCTTTCATGAGGTGGTGGTCAGATGGAGGGTAGGTGGGGTGCCCACAGGAGGGGGCCTGAGGAAGGATGGCTGTCACTGAGGAAGTCAAGCCCCGAGATAGTTCCAAGGATGTGTAGAGACAAGAGAGGGTCTTGGCAAAGGGGAGACTGCCCTGTCACCCTCTGGGTGTAGGGGTTTTGTCGCAAGCTGTGAGAGGCAGCGGCTAGAGGAAAGAGTCTGGAGACCCGGGACCCCACCCCACCCTGCATGCGGTGTCTTCTCCAGCACTGCCTTCCCAGGTGTCTGCCTGCTGTCCCAAGGCTACCACTCAGCAGCAGAGGAAAGAGAAAGATACAACCATCTTGCCAGTGGCAGAGCTACCAGAGGTGAGTGAGCTCTCACCCTTTGTTCCTCTTAGCACAATGTCCCCCGTGATGCAGTCCCCCTCTGCCTCTGGCTTTCCTGCAAGGCTGGGCTACTCTGAAGCGGTCTACTTGAGGACCAAGACAGGGCACCATAGCCTGGAGTAGACTGAACCCATTACCGGACAAGGGGGAAGACATAGAAGAGGAGTAGTCACCAGCTAGGTGTGGGGAAATGAAAGCCCTGCTCCTGCAAAACATCCTGGGCGTTAGTGAGTGAGCCAGTAAGTCTAGGATTCCTCTCCCACAGGCTGGAATGTGGGTGCAATAGGACTGATCCTGTCCAGCCAGCCATTAGAGTGGTGGTATATATGACGTTGGTTCTCATGTAATGCATAGTTGGGTCAAGCTTCAGGCAAGGCTGCATACAGGTGCCCCGGGTAATGGGAAGAATTATTGACCATCCCATCTTGTGGCTCCTCTGTTTTTTCCCATTCCTTCTCAGGCAGGCTCTTCTCCATCTGGGCAAAATGCTTCCTAGATCCAGGCAAAAAGGGTGGAGAGTTCTGGTCAGCTACCCAGAAAGAGCTCATCGTGGCACAGCCTAGGTCAGACTGTGTCCATACAGCCAGGGGCTTTGTCCATCCTGTGGGAAAGGGCAGCACTCAGTGGAATGCCTTGGGTAAGCACAGGCTGAACACAGGTGCAGGTCTGCCTGCTGGGCTTGTGATTCTGTCTCCAGCCCTGTGGGACTCTGGTTGTGCGAAGGGTCCTGATAAACTTGTGGACCCAGAGTCAGTATTTGAACAAACCCCCAAGGCAGCAGGGTCCCTGGCACAGCAGACACACATGTGACATTACAGGAGCCGGTGACCTTCCAGGACGTGTCTGTGGACTTCAGCCAGGAGGAGTGGGGCCTGCTGGGCCCAGTGCAGAGGACTGAGTACCACGATGTGATGCTAGAGACCTTGGGAAACCTCGTCTCCGTGGGTAAGGCTGTGCTGCCTTCTGGGTGCTATCGGTCTCGTGCCTCCTTTGGGACTGATGCTTTCAGGGTGCCTTGTTCTATGCAGGGCCTTTAACTGGAACCACAAGCCTGCAGGGTAGATGCTTGGACGGATAGAAGCCTCAGGCCGGGGCTGCCACCCATCCTGGGAATGAGAGAATCTAAGGGCTCTTCCTGCTCCTGACCATCTCTTGGTCACCAAATTGAACCTCCCCTCTTGGCTACTTCTCAGCTTCTCACAGTTGCTCCCCATTTTGATTGACTGTGTATGGATCCCGTCCTGGCCCCGTCTCTGCACTGCACACCTTCTGGTTTCTTTCAGGGTGGGAGACTGCAGCAGAAAACCAAGAGTTAATTCCAGATTCCGATGTTCCTGCTGATGAACCCATTTATGATCCAAAAGTGAGTGAATTGTCCAGGGATGGCACCCAGCCCTCTGCTTTAGAAGATCTCTTGCAAGGTGGACTCACAGAAGTCCTACATGCAGCATTTCAAAAAGAGGAGTTTGCTGAAGATAAAGCCATCCCCCAGAAGCACCTCACTGAGAACCCTGAGTCACAAGCAGATGCTGGTCTCAGCATAAGCCAAGCTTCACCCCAGAAAATTCCTCCTAGAAAATGTTTGCGCAAATTGCTCTCACAGTGTAAAAGTGTGGCCCAGAGTTCACAAATAAAAGATCACCAGAAGGGCTATGAGCCAGGCAAAGCCAGGGATGACAATGGTCACATGAGCCAGAGTTCACCTGTGGAGATTCACCAGAAGGGCTATGAGCGGGGCAAAGCTGGTGAGAGCAGTGGTCAAGTGACCCAGCGTTCATACCTTAAAGTTCACCAGAAAGGCTGTGAATCGAGCAAAGCCAGGGAGAGCAGTGGTCAAGTGACCCAGCATTCACAAATGAAACTTCACCGGAAGGTCTGTGAGTCAGGTAGAGCTGGGGAAAAAAGCGGTTGTGTGATACAACATTCACATATGAAAGCCCATCAGAAGCCCAGTGAGCAGAACAAAGCTGGAGAGGGCAACGGTAGTAAGAAAACCGTCAGCCAACGGGTTCCACAGGTCATGTTTATAAAAATCCATAGTGGGAGCCAAATTTGCCGATGCAGTGTATGTGGGAAGTTGTTCCGAAATCCAAGGTACTTTTCTGTACATAAAAAAATCCACACAGGAGAGAAGCCATATGTCTGTCAGGACTGTGGGAAAGCCTTCGTGCAGAGCTCTTCCCTCACACAGCACCAAAGGGTGCACAGTGGTGAGAGACCCTTCCAGTGCCAGGAGTGTGGCAGGACCTTCAATGACCGCTCAGCTGTCACCCAGCACCTGCGCACCCACACTGGTGCCAAGCCCTATGCCTGCCAGGACTGCGGCAAGGCCTTCCGGCAGAGCTCCCACCTCACCCGGCACCAGAGAACACACACTGGAGAGCGTCCCTACGTGTGCCGCAAATGCGGGAAGGCCTTCACCCAGAGCTCCCATCTCATTGGCCACCAGAACACACACGGTGGGAGGAAGCACAAGAGGAAGCATAAGAAGCAGCCACCCCCTGCCTCCTAGCCCTCGTACCAGTGGGAGCATCCATCCCATTACCTCCCATGATATTCCATCTAGGGATAACGCGTCACAGGGAAGCTGAGGAGGACATCTCGTGATCAGAGACCACTGGCACAGCCTGCTGAGCACATAAGTAAATAAAGTGTGGGGGACTTGCCAATGAGTACATGTTGGAAAGTAAAGGTTTAATTTTTTATTAAAAGTAATACTAATGAAATCTGAAAATGTTAATAAGTTTTTAAAGTCAGGTACCTAATAATCTTTGCCCTGATAATTATATCTGCAATAAAGTATGTGTGTCATCAAAGTCTAAGAATATAAACTATATGTTTTCGTTTAGAACTTGTTTCCTACCTAAACAATGATTTGACATTTAAAATAAGAAATATTAAAGCATGAGGTTGTGAGACAGTTCCAGCAGATCTGAACACAACTGCAGCACCTTAGCCCAGAGTTCCAGGTAAGTCCAGTAACTGAGTCATTCCTTTGCTTGAGAGTTATCCCAGCGGGCAGGAACCCTCTAAGCATGGAACCTCCTGGGAATGTGCAGTTGCTTTATTTCCAACCTCCTGGCCATTTGCCCATCAAGTTAAGCAACAAGATGCTGGCTGTATTAAGTGTGTATTTGTTGCCTACATTCACAGCAGTGCATACTGGTAATCTTTCTCCAAGTTCCACAGCCTGTATCATGTTGAACACTTAATCCAAGAGCTCTACCATTGCTCTTCACTTTTTTGTTTTGTTTTTGAGAGAGGCTCTTGCTATGTAGTTCAGGCTGACCTTGAACTCACTATGGAGCCCCAGGCTGGACTTGAATTTACAGCAATCCTCCTGCCTCAGCCTGTGAAGTGCTGGCATCACAGGCCTGTGCCACCACACCCAGCCACTCTAATTCTGCGTGACATTTAAAAACATTTTATGGCTGGGGTGAATCTCAAGAGTAGAGCCTATGCTTAGCATGAACAAGACCCTGAGTTTGTTCCTACCCTCCCCAAATTAAAATATTCTATAGATTTGGTGAGCACATGCGTATAATCCCAGAACTCTGGGAGGCTGATGCGGAAAGATTACACTTTGGGAGTGTAGCCTGGGCAGTTTAACAAGACACTGTCAAGTTTCACTTGATCTTAGCCAAAAGGTGAGAAGCGATTGTGTCAGGTTTCTTTAAAATTCCAAAATACACATTTAGCAGACACTGGTCATGTGTTGCTTTGCATGAGCTTGTGCATCTGAAGCAGTTAAAGTTAGGTACTCCATGATGAACATGCTTAACCCCTTTCTCTGAAGACATTGACAGGCCTTGGAGACAGAACCAGAGTAGGTCCTAGAGGCCAGGTGTTAAGGGAGCACCAGCAGCCCTACTGCTTTGCATTTATCAGGCACAGAGTGTGACTGCTACAGGGTATTTAATCATTTCAGCAACTTGAATTGCGTGTTAACTAACTTTTTCAACACAGGCCTAAAACTGACCTAGCAGTGTGTAGCCAGGAGGAGCATCACAGTACCACATGTTCTCCTGTGCCACTGAACCAAGGGATGAGACAAAGTCAGCCCACTTACTTCTAGGTACCAAATCCTGAGACATCCAGATGGCGAATCCATGGAACTTAGGTTACTGTTTTTAAGATGAGATGTTAATATAGAATTGATTTTTCTAAGTGAAACACTCAGTATTCAGGTTTCATTACAGTGCTGGCACTTTATGATAAATGAGTGTTGGGTTGCAGTTTGGCCCTCAGTCTTTAAGACGTTCAAGACATTCACCATCACTGTTATAGTAGCTTGCAGCACAGAGCAAAGGGGAAAACTTAGGACTAGAAGACTCAAGGCCAATTTGAGGGACAATAAAGAATGTGGTTGTGTAGCTGTCAGCAGCTCCAAAACCTAGCAGTAGGAAACTACAAACTTTGTTTTATTATGCTTTTATATTTGGTGGTAAATTTTTTCAGAAGAGACCATAAGAACAATTTCTTCTCCATAATTTCTGGGTCCAGAGAGGTCCTCCCCAAAATGGCTATTTGTGGACAACATGGATCCTTGACCTTTGGTGCCTTCATCCTCTGAGTTACAGATCCAAAAAGGCATAGCCATGCTGCCAAAGCGAGCACATAGATTTGTACCTGAAAGTTCATAGAACCTGTAGTCATGATAGCCCCAGGTGGAATCAACCCACATGCCCATAACCAGTGAATGGACAGAGCAATTATGAATAACGTACCATATACCACACTGTCCATAGGGGATGGAATACTGCTCATAATAAGAAAGGATTAGTGATATATGCAATGTAAATGAATCTCACAGACTTTCTCCTGAATGAAGGGGTACAAAAGACTACAGATTATATATACTCAACTTACATGGATTCTAGAAAAGGAAAAGTGAATATGTAGTGATACAAATCAGATCAGTGGTTTCCTGGGCAGGAGATGAGAGTCAAGTAGATTTACTGGGGGGGGGACCACAAAAGGAACATTTGGAGTATGGAAATGTTCTACATTCTGAGTGTGTTAGTGGATATATGGGTATATGTGTGTCAAAATTCATTGGCACATACATTGAAATGTATGAATTTTATTGTATATTGTACCTCAAGGCAAATTAGAAAAGAGTTTTAAAAAAAAGGCATACCCAAGTTTACAGCCCTGTCTGACCCATGTCTAGTATGTGTGCTCCCACTTAGGTACCCTCTTTCTTCATCCCTTCTTGTTACACAGAATCTGCAGGTTGGAGTTGAAGACCTTCTTGTGTAGAGATGGTCACTGTGCTCTCCTGCAAACCTTTCATCTCCCTCTAAGACAGTCTCATTGTCCACCAAATGTGGGCATGATTCTGGTTCAGGAGAGTGTGACACTCGGTGACCTGCCAGGCAAGGTCAGGAGCCATACTACCTCTGCCTGTCCCCATGCAGATCCCAAGCACAAACACCAGCCTTTAAATCACCTTACCCTGGGGCCAGCAGCTGGCCAGTGGCCCTGGCCAAGAAGGATCTGCACTCTGTGTAATCTCAGTCACATAAAACCAGACTAACCCCAGAAGTCCATCCTAGGCCTAGGAGCTGACAAGCTACTTCAGGTGTTCTGTGCCAGGGACTGGGGATGCCCTATGGGAAGATTTCCAACTGAAACTCGGTTCTCCTTGGTCTTTGGATTGAACAGGAGAGGGAGGAACCACTGAGGTCCCCAGGATGGAGAGACTTAATCAGAGGTGGGATCCAAGGGTTAGGTTGAGAAGATGCCACCAGGGGCGCTTACCTTGACCTGTGTGCGAAATGCCCCACAATATCTCCCACCCACTGGCTATGTGAAGTAGGCCAGGGACAGCTGCGGAAGGAGAGTTGTACTTCCCAACTGTTAGATGATGGTGGATGCTAAAGTGTCTAGAGTTGGCTGATATCTGCATCAGACCTTACACAAAAGGAATTCCTGACAGGCTAATGATTTCCATGTTAAAAAATGCAAAATTTAAGATACTGTATAAATATATGGATTAAAATACTTTTAATGAAACTATGATGTATTTATAAAAGAATAGATACATTTACTCTATATAAAAAAGAACTTTTCTCGTATGCCAGAAAATATAAGGAAAAGAATATAATGGGCTGAGGAAACTATTTGTGACACAAATGCCATACAAGATTTCACATTGAGAAAAGCAATAAATCTGGTAGAATTTCTCAGCACAAACCTTAAAGGCCAGGAGAGCTTGAAAATAACCTCCAACCCTGAATTATATATCCTGAAAAATCTCTTTCAAAATTGACAACAGAGTCACAGTCTTTCCATGACAAAGAAAAATTAACCAGCATTCCAGAACTTAACAAGGATATCCTAGAAAGTCAGTAAAGCTAGCAGTGCCAAAAGTTTTTATGGAATGAATATACTAAGTAGAATTTAAAGGGTAGGGGTCAGCAACAGAAAACAATGCAACAACAGGAATGTCAGTACTCTACCTTTCAGTAATAACTACTAATATTGGTCTCACCCATCATAAGACAGATTGGCAGATTGGATTCAAAAACAAAACCCAACAATATTCTGTATATTAAAAAAATGCAGATCGGCTGTCACCCAGCACCTGCGCACCCACACTGGTGCCAAGCCCTATGCCTGCCAGGACTGCGGCAAGGCCTTCCTAATAACGTTCCATGCAAAGGAGCTAAAACAAGCACATTTACAGGGTGTACTTCAAGCCAAAATTGATCACAAGAGGCAAAAAAGGTCACTACATATTGCTTAAGAAAAATGAATAGGAAGAGATAATTACATATTCACCAAACATCAGCACACTCACCTTCATAGCATTGGACACGAAAGTTCAAATAAACATCAAAATTATAATGGAGGACCTCAATACCTATTATCACAAATAGATTACCCCAAAAAATCAGCAGTGAGCAGCACCTTTGCACAAATGGACTTAATTGATCAGTACAATGTTGCGCCCATCAGTACACACGTGGAACTTTCTCCAAAATAGACCACGTTCTAGCCCATATTGCATGCTTGAATAAATCTGAAATATTTAAAATTATTTCACGCATATTACCAGATGATAGTGCAATGAAACTAGAAATCAGTAGCAAAAGAAGCCATGGAAATTATGAAACAGCTCTCTGGGCTTGGGCCTAGGTTGTGGTGACATTGCAAAATGCACTGAAGAGGGTCAGAATTAGTAAATATGTGACCTGCTCTGGTGCCTCACTCCAGAAAATGGTGGAGAAAATTAGAATTGGCCAACATGCCAAGTCACCTCAATGGCATGACCAAGATGACACAGACTGTGGGATTTGGTACTGTGGTTCCAGCATGAAAACGGTGGCTGGTGGTACCTGGCCCCACAACACCACTTGTGCCATCACAGTCAAGTCTGCCATCAGAAGATGAATGGAATTGAAAGACCAATAGAAGCTCTATTTGAGACATCCCTAGTCTATAATAAATGGGTTAATTTTTGCCATAAACAATTGCAAAATGCATATAGGTTAAACAATGCACACTTGAATAATCAGTGGGTCCTGAAAGAAATTACTTCCAGCTAGACATGGTAGTGAATGCTTGTCCCAGCACTCGGGAGACTTGAGTTAGAATCCTGAAGAATTCAAAGCCAGACTGTGCTAGATAGCAAAATTCCATCTAAAACAAAAAACAAGGAGAGGCCCAAGAATTTTATTGCCATTACAACATAGAAAATATGGGATACAATAAAATATGAATGAATGAAAACACCCGTGTCAGTGCAATTAGAAATGAAAAGGGTGAAATCACAACAGACATCACTGGAATCCTGAGGATTATAAATAACTACTTTGAAAACTTGCACTTCAATAGATTGGAAAATCCAGAAGAAATGGATAGATTCCTAGATACACACGAATTACCAAAACTGAAACAAGAAGATACAAAAACTTTGAATGACATAAAAATGGGCAATGAAATTGAGGTAATAATAATAAAAAAAAATACCAAATAGGAAAATCCCAGGACCCAATGGAGTCACTACTGAATTCTACACGAATTTCTGGGGGGATCTAACACCAATATTTCTTAAACTATAATGAAATTAAAAGGGAAGCGGTACTGTGAAACTCATTCCTGGAAGTTAGCATTACATTGATAGCAAAACAGACAAGGGCTCATGTAAAAAAGTTACAGGCCAACATCCTCAAGAAGATACTAAAAACGCAGGGCTGGGGATTTAGCTCAGTGGTGCTGCTGCCCCCCTCGCAAACACAAGGTCCCAAGTTCAATCCCCAGTAGCCCCCTCAAAAAGATTACACATCATGACCAACTGTGCTTTATCCCAGGAATGCAAGATTGTTTCATCATAGGCAAGTCAATATGTCAATCACATAAAAGTAAGGACAAAAATCATGATCGTGTTAAAAGACTCAGAAAAAGCCTTTGACAAAACCCAAGCATCTGTTCATGATGAGAAAAGAAAAAAGAAAAAACCCCGAAAGAAGTAGTTATAGAAGGACCTTGAAAGTCATTTTATAATATCTAGTGATGGGTATTCCTGAACATGGAGTTCATTTGACCTATAGAATGGAGGCACTAGTTAAGGATTTCTAAGATTGCTTACTATTGCACTGCTTATGTTGTATGTATTTAAAGATGATGGAAACTGTAAGAGATTGAGGAGAGTAAATTGGAAGGGGAAAATAGCCTGGACCAAAATAAAAGGTTGTCTGGTGTACATTGTTGAGTGTGACCAGTTAATTGCGATTGTCCATGAACTGGGTCAAGAGATATCCACTAAATTAGTAAGGCACATCCCACGGTGTGTGGAGTAATGGAAGCAAGACCTTCAGCTATCTAGTTCTTAGCCCTTTCTTCTCTGGAGCTCTTCCCTCAATGCTGTGCTTCCTGACTGCCCTGAAGTGAGTAGCTTTGCTCTGCCACAGCCATCTGCCATGATGTTTCTGCCTTGGACCTAGCTGAACATGGACTGAAACCTCTGTAACCATGAGCCAAGTAAACCTCTCCTCCTTTAAATTGTGACTAGTAGGCCCAGGGGTTTAGCTCAGTGGTGCTGCCGTGTGCTTTGGAAGTGCAGGGTCCCAAGTTCAATCCCTGGTACCCCACCCAAAACAATTGCGAATATCACATACCCCCAATGATGGAAAATTTGAGTAATAATGGGGTATAGAATTTATGTGTGTTCATGTAAAGTTTTTAAATATGTTAAAAATCACTTCACTGGGGCAAGCACTCCATGAAGTTGCCCACAGTGGAAGCATGAGTTTGATTTTAGAATGGGGAGGCGTCTAGAATTGCTTGCATTTTCTCTTATTTTCTGAATTCCAAATTTATAGTATACAAATATACATAAATCTGACCATCAAAATAAGTTTGAAAAATGACTTTTTACATCATGAAGCAAGCTATGGAAATAAGAACAAGCTTGTACAGTTCTGTCAGAGGTTTCCCCTTAGTTGACAAAAGGGAAACAGAAAAGCTCTACAAATATAATGATGATTCTTTCTGCCATGATATATCCTTTAATAATCAGAAGAAGAGGGGACCGGGGATTTAGCTCAGTGATTCCACCACCTGCCTCACAAGTGCAAGGTCCCAAGTTCAATCCCCAGTACCAAAACAATAATAATAATAATAATAATAATAATAATAATAATAATAATCAGAAGGAGAAAAAACTTTTGACTATAATAAATGTGAAACCCTTTAATACAAATATTGCCATAATGAATACCAGACAAGCCCTATTGAAAGCAATCCTTAAAATTGTAATAACTGAGGGAAAAACATCCTTTAAAAGTTTTGCTTTTCTCACCAAGAGAGAACTCATACTGGAAAGAACCTCTGTGGATGTGGTAAATCCTTTAGCTCGAGCTCCAACTTAGTTTTACACAACAGATATTGCTGGAAAGAAGCTCTCTGAATGTAATGATCTGTATGGGAAGTCTCTCAGCCAGCACCCCCAATGCATGAAATATTATAAAACTAATATTTAAGTGACACTTCTTGAATGTCATGAGCTGGGACAGTCTTTAGGAGGAGTGCTCAGCTAGCTAGCATCAGTGGACTCACTGAAGAAAATCTTTTCCTTGTCATCGGTGTGAGAAATCATCATATCTTCATATTATCAAATATCTTCCCATCATATCTTTGATCTTAATGTGCATCAAAGAGCATAACTGAAAGAGGCCTTATGAGGATCATTGCTGAGAAGTCCTGTCAAAGGTCAGGGCTTATTTCCCATCAGATTCACCCAAGAGAAAAACTATGTGAGTGTAATCAGAAGGCAAAATGTTTCAGTTGGAGTTCTCACTGTGCTGCATCAGAGAATTCATACGACAGAGAAATAACTTGAGGTCCAGAGTGTGGAAAATCATTGGAACTCTTTCTTACTAGGCATCAGGAAATTGACACTGACAGAAACCTCTTGAATACCATCAGGTTGGAAAAGCTGTCAGCCGGATTCTCCCCTTACAGAACACCAGAGATCTCATATTCTCATAGTACACCGAAATTCAGTAAAAGTAGTCAATGTGGGAAATCTTTCAAATGGAATTCTTGCCTTATTGTGTGTCTTAGTTACTTTCTCTTCACTGAGATACAATACTGAAACCCACAACTTAAAGGAAGAAAGGTTTATTTGGCTCCTGTTTTGTAGAGCATTCAGTCCGTAGTTGGCTGGCTCCAAGGCAGAGTGGCATGGTGGAGGGTTGGAGGAAAGCTGCCCGTGGTGTAACACCTGGAAAGCAGAGAGAAACCAATTGAGAAGTAATGGAAGTAAACCCTCCCAGGCCGTGCCCCCAGTGACTCACATCTTCCACCCAGAACATAGCAGCTCAGCTGTAAGCCTTCATAATCCAGTCACTTTCCAAAAACTTAACCCATGACCACATGCATCTTTGGGGGGATGTGTAGATATTAACCATAACAGTATATATCAACAAATGGATACCAGTGAAAATCCATGTGTTAGCTTTTCATGACTGTGACCAGATACCTAGCAAACACAACTTAAAGAAGAAAATGTTAATTTTAGCTCAGTTTCAGAACTTTCAGTTCATGGTCACATTGCTTTAGTTGTGTTGTGAGACTTGTCTGAGTGGGTGGGGCAAAGGGTATATATGTTCTCAAAATGCACACAGACAAAGCAAGAGAATCACACATTTGAGCACAGACTGAGAAACTTAGCAAGACTGTCTCAAAAAATTAAAAGTGGGGGTGCAGGGATTTAGCTCAGTGGTTCTGCTGCCTGCCTCCCAAGCACGAGGTCCTGAGTTCAATCCCTGGTACCAAAAGTAAATAAATAAAAATTTAAAAAGGCCTGGAGATGTAGCTCAGTATGATGACCCTGAATTCAACCCCCAGTACGGCAGACAAAATAAAAACCATTGCACACAATTGTGCCATTTACCCAGAACGTTTTTCCATCCTGAATTCTTTCTGGTGGGAGTGACTGGTGACGTAAGAAACCTCAAAATTGGAGGGAACAACTTCAATCCATTGCTCATTCTGAGCCTTATCTCACATGAGTGGTTGGCATAAAACCACAGCGAGATCCACTTCATGAGCTAGGTATAGCCTTCCTAATGGAGGACATTTTCTGCTTTCCCTAGATCAGAGGATCTTAATCCGAATTCTATTGAGCCTAGAGGTTCACGAAAGGGTTTCCCTAGTCCTCTGCAAAAGGGAGTGTAGAGGGCCGGGGCCTGCCTTGCAAGTGCAAAGACCTGAGTTCGATCCCTGGTACCAAAAAAAAAAAAAAGGAAGTGTAGTATATCCATGTTTCTCACTGGGGTACTGCCTACAGTTCATCAGGTATCTTCTCCAAACATGTAGAAATGCTGGGATACATAGTGTCCTCAAATGCTTGATAGAATTCTCAAAATAGACCACTTATTTGTTATTTTCATGGAGAAAATCCTCAGGCGCTTTTGGGATATTTTGGACTATCAAAAACAAATGACTCTAAGCCAGGTGTGGTGGTGCAGGTAATCTCAAATGTTGATTACTGATCATTTTTAGTTGTCTGCATTTTTTACTTTCTATGCAATGAACCTAAACTTTTTGTGGTTTATACAACAGGAGGATCATGTCTAATAACAATGTATTATATTTTTTAAAGTTGCTATATTAGTAGATTTTAGGGTTCTCACCACACAAAAAGCTTTATCTCAAGCCCACTTTTTTTTTTTTTTTTTTTTTTTTTTTTTTTGTACCAGGGACCAAACTCAGAACCTTGCGCTTGTGAGGGAGGTGGTGGAACCACTGAGCTAAATCCCTGGCCCACTTCTTTTATTGTTTATCTTTGAGACAGGGTCTTGCTAAGTTACTAAGTTGCCCAGGATGGGTTTGAACTTATGATCCTCCTGTCTCAGCCTCCCAGAGTGCTGAGATCACAGGTGTGTACCACCATGCTCAGTTTGAGTTTTTTTTTTTTCACTAATGTAATGTTCTTGAGATCTATCTCGGTTGCTGCATTTTATCAATACTTCACTGCTGTTACTGCAAAGCAGTTTTCCATGATGTGGATATATATGAAATTATTTAGCCATTCAATCACTAAGGGAATTTTGGTCATTTCTTATATTTTTTCTATCATAGGGAAAAGCTGCTATGACTATTTGTGTACAGGTTTTCATTTGAACATATTTTCATTTCGTTAGAACACATATTTCAGTGTATTTGTTCTGGAGTTGACTTCAGCCTCTCTGAAGTCTGAAACCCTATTACAAAACGCTCCTATAATAGCCTCCTTTGAATAAGTCTGCCTTGCTGACTTTAATACATCAGGTTTTCTTGCCCTTATTCCCTCCCTCCCATGCCTCCTCCCTCTCTTCTTTCTTTCTTTCTACTGATACTGAGGATTGAACTCAGAGCCTTCACACTGAACTACTTTTCCAGCCCTTTTTTATTTTACTGTTGAGATATAGTCTTGCTAAGTTACTTAAATTGCACAAGTTGGGCTCAAACTTTTAATCCTCCTGCCTCAAGCTCCCTTAGTACTGGAGGTAGTGCACCATCTCATCTGACTTTGATTATCCTCTTGATATTACATTACAAGACCTTTATTTTTTTAATACAATTCTTTTTTTTTTTTTTTGAGTCAGGGTCTCACTATGTAGTTCAGGCTGGGCTTGAACTCACTATACAATCCAGGTTGGCCTCAAACTCATGGTGATCCTCCTGCATCAGCCTCCCAAGTGCTGGGATTAGCCAGGCATGGTGGTGCATGCCTGTAATCCCAGCAGCAGAAGGCTGAAGCAGTGGGATCATCATGATTTTAAAGGAAGCCTGGTCTACGAGTGTTGTAACTTGTATCCAGATGCCCCCCCAAAGCCTCATGCCCTCATAGGTGGGGCTTTTCTGAGGTTTCTGGATCTAAGGTATGTAAATATGGATAAAGGGTATGTGATAACTATTTTTTGTTGTTTTTTGAGACAGGGTCTCACTATGTAGTTGAGACTGACTTGGAACTCACAATGTAGCCCAGGCTGCTCTTGAATTCACAGAGATCCTCCTGCCTCAGTCTCCCAAGTGCTGGGATTACAGGCGTGCGCCACCATGCCCAGCTGTGATAACTAATTTAGTCCACACAATGGTTTATCATAATTCTGGGTATGAATAATAGGAATACCCACACTGGGTATTTATGGCACCAACCGATAGGCTTGTAGCCTGAATGGAATAAAAGGGAAAGGAGGCTCAGTGCTGCTGCTCTACTGCTTTCTGTCTACCCTGCAATGGACTGTTTCTTTTCTGCCATGCTGCCTTGCCTTGGAGCCAGCCAAATATGGACAGAAACTTCTACAAAATTAAGTAAAATAAACTTTTTCTCCTTTAATTTATGAGTATCAGGTATTTTGTTCCAGCAACAAGGAAGTAACTAAGACAACTAATTAGTTCAAAACCAGCCTGAAGTACATAGCAAAACCTGTCAAGAAAGAGAAAAAGAATCTGGGTATGATCCCCCAAAGCCTCATGCCCTCATAGGTGGGGCTTTTCTGAGGTTTCTGGATCTAAGGTATGTAAATATGGATAAAGGGTATGTGATAACTATTTTTTGTTGTTTTTTGAGACAGGGTCTCACTATGTAGTTGAGACTGACTTGGAACTCACAATGTAGCCCAGGCTGCTCTTGAATTCACAGAGATCCTCCTGCCTCAGTCTCCCAAGTGCTGGGATTACAGGCGTGCGCCACCATGCCCAGCTGTGATAACTAATTTAGTCCACACAATGGTTTATCATAATTCTGGGTATGAATAATAGGAATACCCACACTGGGTATTTATGGCACCAACCGATAGGCTTGTAGCCTGAATGGAATAAAAGGGAAAGGAGGCTCAGTGCTGCTGCTCTACTGCTTTCTGTCTACCCTGCAATGGACTGTTTCTTTTCTGCCATGCTGCCTTGCCTTGGAGCCAGCCAAATATGGACAGAAACTTCTACAAAATTAAGTAAAATAAACTTTTTCTCCTTTAATTTATGAGTATCAGGTATTTTGTTCCAGCAACAAGGAAGTAACTAAGACAACTAATTAGTTCAAAACCAGCCTGAAGTACATAGCAAAACCTGTCAAGAAAGAGAAAAAGAATCTGTATATGATGGCACACGCCTGTAATCCTAGCACTCGGGAGGCTGAGGCAGGAGGATCGCTGTGAGTTTGAGACCAGCCTGGGCTACACAGTGAGTTCCAGGTCAGTCACAACTACATAGTGAGACCCTGTCTCAAAAAAAAAAGGGAAGGGGAAAAGAAGGAAGGAAAAGATTATACTTTTGTGGTAGTTTGTTATAGGCTGTACAGGACACTGACATACTCACTGGCCCTCGTTTCCCCTTTAGCCTTCCTCCCTGCTCACCTACCCTCCGGGTGCCTAGCACTCTTGCCCTGGAGCCAGACTCTGGCCTCTGCCAGCTTCTCCCTCCCCCAACCCTGGTACTGGAGATTGAACTCACGACCTTGCACTTGCAAGGAAGGTGCAGTGCCACTGAGCTAAATCCCCTGCCCTCTGCCAGCTTCTTGAGTGGCTGCTTTAGGCCACAGTTGCAGGTCTCCATGACCACCAACCCCAGCAGTTCACCCCTCTTGCTGCTCATCCACTGAAGCATCAACAACACTGATTTTTTTTTTTTTTTTTGTACCGGGAATCAAACTCAGGACCTTGCACTTCAAGGCAGGTGGTGGCATCACTGAACTAAATACCTGGCAATTTTTATTTATTTTTGAGGTAGTGGAGATTGAACCTAGGACCTTCACACTAAGCTGCATTTTCAGACCTTTTTTTAAATTTTGAGACAAGGTCTTTCCGAGTTGGTTACTTGCCGAGGCTGGACCCAAACTTGGGATCCTCCTGCCTCAGCCTCCCATCATGCTGGGATTATACATTTGTACCACCATGCAGCCCAAACTTTTTATTGACAGAAAATCTTGTTTCATTCTTGCTGGAGTCACACCCTCGTTCCAGTCACAGTTTCTTGTGTGTTTATTAGAGACTTACTAGTTCTGGCCCTTGTGTCCGGGTCAGATTCAGTCCTGATATTGTGAAGATGCTATCTCCCGTTTTGGCACTAAATTTGCTGTCCTCTCTTTCTTCTTTTTCCAGTCATTGGAGAATCTGAGTCCTTGGTTGCCTGAAAAATATTTCCCTTCTGTTTAAAGAGATACAGGGCCCAGAAAGAGGTTATCTCCACACAACTGACAGCATAGAGTTCCCAGACTCCAGAGTTCTCAGGAGCTGCAGTCTCAGAAGACCCTGCCTGAGAAGTGAGACCATCATTAGGGTGACACGGCTGCAGTAGCTCCAAGTGGCCAGGCCCCTACAAGGTCCCAGAGGCGTAACGTACCGTCTCACCACTGGCAAGAACCACGGGATAACGCAGGGAGAGGCGTCCCAAGCATAGGAAGAGAAAGGTGAGAACGGCCACAAGCACAAGGTGTGCAACAAGCCACCCCTTCAGTGCCTGGATCAGTCCGGGCCTTCCAAGGACATGGGCTTTTCAGGAATATGGGTGAGACCACGGCCAGCGCTCAGGTCCCCGGCCTGCACGGTGTATGAGGGCTCCTGAGAGTAGGAGGAATGGGACTGAGTTTCTTACGCCCCCTCAGAAAGCACCATACCCATGAAAGATACCCCAGCGGGGCAAGTTTGTGTGCACGGAAGTGCAGATGCCGCGTTCATAGGGTGCACAGTTGGGTGCGTCAGCGTTCGTGCCACACACCGGGGGCTGGGGGCAGGCCACGCTCCTTTGCCCCGTGACACTTTCCAGTCCTGCGGCTGTTCTGTGGCCTCGCCTCCACTTCCCTTTCCGCAGGGTGCTGGCACAGTGAGCACCGCTGGCGCTCCTCCCCTCGGCTGTCACGGGGCCCCTGTGGGATGCCCGCCCAGGCCTGCTCGTTTCTTTCAGGCCAAGGGCAGGGAAGGGGCCTGGTCCCCACCTCCCGTCTGAGACCCTTGGAAGTTAGGAGGTGGAAGCTGGGGTGTGGGGCTTGAGGGGAACAGAGCGCCCACTGCTTCTCTGCCCAGCAGCTCCTCTGTCCTTCCGAGACAGCTGCTTGGGAGGAAAGGGAAGTTACATCGTCGGCCAGCCTCATCCAAGCTGAGGGCCCTCCACTCTTCAGCCCAGTCTACTCTGCTGTCAGGGGTCCGGAATGAAACCACCTCCCGGGTGAGATGGGTCTCCAAAGAGCCTTGGGTACCCTGCAAGTGAAACTCCTCACCTGTTACCTGCTCAGAGCAACCCAGAGCTCCTGGAAGCTACTAGTGCCAGGTCTGGAGCCTGGTCTCTAGACTGCCTCCGCTTCTTCCCCTCCAGTCCCCTCCTGTTCTTAACTGTGTAAGTCAGTTCAGGCTACCGTAACAAAATACCAGTCTGAGTGTCTCCAACCACAGACATGTGATTTCTCACAGTCCTGGTGACAAGGAGCCACTAGGCCTGTGTCTGGTGAGACCTCCTGGTAAGGTCATTCTCACCTGGCGGGAAGAGAGGGCGACACCAGTGTTACTGAGTGGGGTGGTACACATTTATCATCCAACGACTCTGGAAGGCTGGGGCAGAAGAGCAAGTTCCAGACCAGTCTGAGCAACACAGCAAGTTAATGAGTATCTCAAAATTTTAAGGGGGATGGAGTGAGGGTGGAGCTCAGTACGAAGGGGTTAGGGCCCCCCCATTAGGACCTCGTTTGACTGTCATCACCCGTAAGTTCCCTTTCTCCAAATACAGTCACACTGTAAGTCTGGACTTCAGCATAAGAACGTGAGGGACGCCAGTCAGACCGCAGGACCAGCCTCCTGGAAACATGCAGCCCAGACCTGTCTTTTGGTTTGCCATGAATTTTGGGACTCAGTGACCTGATCACCTCCGGAAGGCCCAGGCTTAGTGCTGGTTAAGATGTGGTCAAAGGCAATGGGCTTAGGGGAAGAACTTAGGTATGTGGACTCAGGGGAAGTTTTCACCCAGGTTTAAACCTTCTACCTCCGTCCGATATTTCCTAGAAGAGCACACTTCATAAACTCGACTCACAGCTTAAAAAGTTGAAAGTTTGGTTTCATTGACTATTTGAAGCCCTGTAAAAACAGCTTTCTAGAGCCTTCTGTCTGAGCATTTACTTGAATATACTTGTGAGCATTGAAAGGAGAGATTAAAAAACCTCACGAGTGACTTTGATGTCTCCCTTTTTATGACAGAGCTTGTCTAGTGGAATACATGGATGACTGTAAGGATGATGAAGTCTCCATCCATCACAGTGTGACTCGAAGAAAACATGAGCTGAAGCACTTTGGGGTGTGTCAGTGAAACTGGTACACACAGGGAAGTGTGTTCTGAGCATCCGTAACCTGCACAAAGGGTGATTTCTCCATGGCCCCATCTTTCACCAGCTCTAACTTCATTCAAACCACAAAGAAGCCATAAGCCACATCAGTGTGGAAAATCTGTCAGACAGCACACACCAGAGAAAAGTCCGATGAGTGTACTGGTTCAGGAAGGCTTTCGGCCAGTACGCTGACCTTGATGTGCATCAGAGGATTCATGCTGGAGAGAAGCCCTGCGCAGGCACACAGGGTGGGATATGCTTCCCCAGAGCTGCAGACATGGGACCAGCACACTCACAATGGAGAAAAGCCCTATAAATGCCACGACTGGGAAACCCTTCCAATGCAATCCTGCATCAGCAGGCTCACACTGGAGAGAAGGCCTACATGTGTGCTCCCTGTGGAAAGTCTTTCAGCCAACTTTTAGGCCCTATCACACACGAGGGAGAAGTCCTAAGCAAGTCACCACTGTGACAAGACCTTCAGCCAGCAATACCAGCTCAGAAGGTATCAGAGGATCCAACCTAACCCTGCCTCAGCTTCCCAAGTGCTGGGATTTTATGCATGCATGACCACACCTCTCCAAAATGGTTTTAAGTGTTGTCATTAAAAGTACACTGGGGAAGCCGGGCTAGGTGGCACACACCTGTAATCCCAGCACTCGGGGAGGCTGAGGCAGGAGGATCACTGTGAGTTTGAGACCAGCGTGGGCTACATAGTGAGTTCCAGGTCAGTCTCAACTACATAGTGAGACCCTGTCTCAAAAAAACCAAAAAAAAAAAAAAAAAGAACATTGGGGACTGGGGATTTAGCTCAGTGGTTCTGCCACCTGCCTTGCAAGCACAAGGTCCCAAGTTCAATCCCTGGTCCAAAAAAAAAAAACAACAAAAAAAAAGCAAATTGATGGCTGAGGATTTAGCTCAGGGGCGCCACACCTGCCTCAAAACTGCAAGGTCCTGAGTTCAATCCCCGGTACAAAAATAAAAAGTACATTGGATATTTCTGTCTACTATTCTGTAACATAACTGTATTGCTCAGTTAGGTCATCAGAACTAGCCACAGCAATACAGATACCAGGTGAGGTGAAAACCCAGGGCCTGAAACAGGACACACACAAAACATTCCAGGACCACCAGATCTAACCACACAGGGCTGGGGCCATGACTCGGACAGAAAGAGCTTTCCTAGCCAGCATGAGACCTTTACCCTAACCCCAGCACTACTTATAAGTAAAAAACGTTGTAGGGAGCCAGGAAGGGAGCCTACGTTTTCAGGGCCACTGCCTTGGGTCCTGGCCTGTGAACCACCACAGCACAAGGCAAATTCAAGAACAGACAGAAATGAGATGGAAGAGTACAGAAGCTGCGGGCTGGGGATTTAGCTCAGTGGTGGCAGCACCTGTCTTGCAAGTGCAAGGACCCGAGTTTGATTCCCAGTACCAAAAAAAGTGTGCAGAAGCTGAATCCTGGGTCCTGGTCAGCGCTGCTGATAGAAGCAAGGACAAAGGCCCCCAAGCACATCCAGTATTTACTGAATACAATCACAAGAAGGAACAGGGAGCAGGGTGTGCTTTGAAGGCATCTAGTGATTTACTGCTAAACATCTGGTGTGATGGTGCCAGGCAGGGCTGTCAGGGAGTTGGCACTGCTTATCTTGTTAGGACAGAAGAAACCAGGACTGGTACCAGGCACAATTAGCAGGCAACCCATTGGGTCAGGGAGGAGCCATAATTCAGGGGAAAGGATTATAACTGGGGTCACACTGACTTCAGCTGCATGTAACTTAGCAGGGCCCCGCCACTTGGCAGACCAGGACTTAGGCCTCAGTGACAGCCATCAACAAAGGAGCAACACTAGCCCAACTCTGCTAGCAGACACGCCATTTGAGTCACAAGGGCTGTGGTGTGACTCCTGATAGAAAACAGCACAGCCAAATTATGGATGGCAAGAAGCACGCGCCACACATAGTCCACTAGTACTGGGCAGGGACGTCTGCTACAATCGCACACATAGTTGGTTAAGATCAACTCGTCATGTTCACTGAAAGGAAGAAGTGTAAATCAACAGCCACAGAAAGAATGCAAGAGGTCGTGACTATGAATCTGAGCAGGGAGGCAAGGTGGGCGCAAAGACCCCAGACACAGAGTTGGGAGTGGAAGCCGGGTCTCTTGGGGCTACAGAAAGCAGCCAGGGAAGCACAGCTCATTAAAGATCTGTTCTGAAACTAGGACTCAGCCCTTTCTCTGTTTTTTTAAAGACAGGATCTCACTCTGTAGTTCAGGCTGGGCTTGAACTTACTATGATGCCGAGGCTGGCCTTAAACTCACAATGATCCTCCTGCCTCAGCCTCCTAAGGGCTGGAGTATAGGCATACGCCACCGTGCCCAGCCCTTTCCCCCCTTTTTTCTTATCTGGCATTATCTGCCTCATGATTAAGCAAAAAATAAAGTAGGGGAGAACTTCTGTGCAGCAAAATTGGTCTATGGACAAAAGAATGTGATGTGCTTTCAAGGGCAGCCCAGTCAGGGCATTTCAAGGACCTTTTTCAATTTTAATTTTTATTAGTACGTGTTTGCAGCACATAATGATTACATCCCTTGTGCGGTGTTACTACGCGAATATAATACTTTTAATTCTTTTATCACCCCCGTCTCCTCCCCCACCCCTCCTTCCATCTGTCAATTGTGCTCTGTAAATGTATCAAGGGCTTTTATCCCAACAGCTGTTTCTTGCCTTTTTTCCCCAAGTGCAGCACGTCACAGAGCTAGCTTCGCCCTCCCACAAGGTTCCCCTCTGCTTTGCCAGAGACTTCTTAGAACAGATGAGAGGCTAGGGAAGAAAGACTTGAAGGAAGCCTCTACACACACACACACACACACACACACACACACACACACACACACACACACAAGAAACTAAAACAAAAAAGAAATTCACAGGAACTAAATATTTGAAATGTTTTAATACCCTAAATATGAACCAAGAAAGGATCTCAAATAAAAGAATAAAATGTACAGAAAAAAAAGAAATATAAGCATAAGAACAGACTCCAAAATGAAAAGTAAGACTTCACATCATGCCAAGTACCACTAAGGATTAATAAGATCCGTTTAGCCATGTGACAGGAAAAATTGCAGACACTACAATTACAAAGAAAGGTCAGGTTGGGTGTGGTTGTGCATGGCAATAATCCCAGCATTTGGGGGGACTGAGGTAGGAGGATCTCAAGTTAGAGCCCAGCTTGGGAAATTTAGCAATTTTGGGAGGCCTTTTCTCAGAATAAAAAAGGGTTGCGGGTGGAGCTCACTGCAAAGCCCTGGTTTCACTCCTCAATACAGGAGGGGGGAGGGAGGGAGATATAGAGAGAGGGAGGGAGAGAGAGAAGGAAAAGAAGAAGGAAGAAGAGACGGAAAAAGGAGACAGAAAAGGAGGAGGAAGAAGAGCAGGAGGAGCAGCACATGCTATTGCTTCCAAGAGTAATCCTGAAACCAGGGAAGGAATATGTAGTTTTTAAAGAAAAAATAAAATTTTCTTCTCCTGAATTAAAAAAAAAAATCATCAGAAACTTCAAGGTAAACAAACTGTATAAGTAAATGTACAAATTGACCGTGACTGTTGTCCAATTTTGCAGCAAATATTAGGAGAATTAGGCCTAATAATTGCCCTTGGAGAAGGCACAGTGTTGATGTCACCACAGTGAAGACACTGCAGTGATCTGTGTCAGCTCGCACTTTGGTACCAGCATTTGCATGGCTGTTCTATAAACAGCAGGTGTTGTTCCTTAATGTGTAGGAAGAAGCCCGCGATAATTTCCTACTGGGAAACCCACTACTGTTGCTAGACCTGCACTGCAAAGCAATGAGCTGTTGACGTGAGCAAGAGAAGCCACCTTATGCTCTGCTTGGTTTCAAACTTACTTTCAACGGGGCTGGAGATGTAGCTCAGTGGTGCCTCCACCTGCCTCACAAGCACAAGGTCCTGAGTTCAATCCCCAGTACTATATATATATATATATATTTTTTAACTCTAGTATGTGTGCTGCCAAAGTGAGCACTATTTTTACTATAAAGAAAAAATATGTTTACCACCATAGGATTAGCACGTGCTGTTTATCCATCACTGTAAGATCAGCACGTTGCTGTATCGAATTCTCCACGGCATAGAAGACGGAGCCTCTGGCTGCGCGCTGGTGGACTCTGCCCTGGGTGCTGCCCTTCACAGAGCTGCCGCTTCAGCTCTGCAGTCGTCCGTCACCATCACTCTGCCTGTTTGGCTCTGCTGCTGTACGGATCTCTAGATCGCCATGAGTTCCCGTGCTGCCCACTGTTCTTACAGAGTATTGGCTGGGTAGAAGAAAGATCCTGTACCATCAGTGCCACCTCCTGCTTCCAGGCTGTGCCATGCATGAGCTCCCCTCTGTCTTGCTGTGAATGTAATAAAGGTTAAATAAACCACTACCTTTAGGAGATGCTCTACTCTTGGGATCTTTGTTTTGCAGATACACCTTCTCCCTTGGGTTCCTCTGAGCCCTACAGTGGCCTAACTCAGAGGGCCTTTTGACCCTCTTTTGACCTTTTGAGTGGCCTCCATGTCCACTTATAACAGTTGGCAGGATCCCAATAGCCAAACTGGGGCTATAGAAAAAACTAGGATGAGGAATAGAACACAGAGTAATAATTTGGATTGACCAAGCCATGACATAGGTTGAAAACACTAGCTCTTGTTGGTGGACCCTCACCAACAAAATAAATCTAGCCTATCAGTTGTGGGGGTAATTGACAAGACGATGAAATCAGTGTGCTGGTTAAGACAGCATACCCATCATAAGGATATAACCTGTGAGAATAAGAAGTGGGAACAGAGAAAATAATAAAGGAAAAACTACCATATAGAATGCCTCACTATGTAAAGGAAAAATTGATGGGCCCTATGGCCCTAGACCCCCTATTGTCACAAGCTTCCCAAAAGAAATTACCAGCACTGCTTTTAAAACGCTTATATAGTTATAGACAAGGAAAGAATGAAGGACAAAGCCCCTGCTAACAGAATCTTACAAGTGAAAAGTACCAGTGATATTTCCAAAATCAATCCTGGCCAGGCTGGTCGTTACAAATAAAATAGCTATTGATTATAGATATGGAGTGTCTGAACTTCAAATAATAAAAGAAACTAGAGAAATGACCAGACAGGAGATAGTCCAGATTAGGAACTATTTTGTACAGAATTTAGATACAGAAGGGAACTGGTTAACCAAAATCTGAGAAAAGGGAACAAAAACAATGATAAGGCCTGGGCAAGTTCTAGCACTAGGTAACCTAGCTGAAGACCCACACATAAACTAACAGATTAATGACCTAGCCACCCAAAATCTAGAGGTAAATAAATCTTCACAGCACTGGATACAAACAGCCTATACGCAGCCCACATCTTCTCAGTACCCTCAGTACTCTCTGGGCATAAGTGCAACAAGCCTGGGGAAGGTATCAAGATGTTGAAAAAACTGGCATTTCATCACCTATTAGAGAGTATTGGAACACGCCTCTGGGACAACAAATTACTGGGGAAGTAAAGAGAATTGTTTTACAATGTGCACCCAAGCATTTAAAATTAAATTATCTGCAAATTACACAGGGAGCAAATACCTACCAAGAATTGATTGAGGATCTCAGATTACACAGGGATCTAGTGGGACAAAACAAAATCACTTTTTTCACCAGGATAAAACAAATACCTGAGGAAGAGGAAGAAAGGAAATATCAAAATGTTAGACAAATACCAGGGCAATTTTAATCCTTGAATAAAAATGTTAGTTGGAACGAATCAAGAATAAATGGACCCCAAAACCAAAATACAAAAAATGGAGGGGCCCTGGGCCATATCACCCAAACCCTGTGACCTATGGGAACAAAAATCCCTTCCAAACCAACCCAGGGATCCAAAGGAATAGAAAGCCTGGCTGGAAAAAAGTGAAGCTAACCACCGCCAAGGTGGCTCAAGGTCCTACAAGCCCTACCTAAGGCCAAACAGGTGACTTGGAGGGACCAGCCATGGTTCAATAGCTCCTTTCAGTAAGATCAGTAGTATCTGAGGGTAGAGGAGGCAATCGTCCTTTCATGATCCAACTTGGGCATGAGCGAGGCTGCCTCAAAATAAAAATATTCAAAGGGCTGGGGGATGTGGCTGAGTGCGAAGGTTACAACACTCAGTATCACAAAGGAAAAGTGGGTAAGGAAAGGAAAGGAAAAAAATACCTCCCTAGACTTAAAATGGGCTTTCTATTATTTTTGTTACTTGGAAGAAAAGCCTTATACCACTTAGTCCCTCTCTTTGCCTGTAGGCCTTTCATTGAATGCATTTGCCAGTGACAAACTGCCGCTTTAAATGGCCGCTTTGAAGTCTCAAGATTTGAAGACCAGTCCTTCCAGAAGATGACCCTAGGAGCACCACTCCTCACTAAGGTGTGACGTCTGCTAGTGGCAACCTGGAATTTAGTGAACCTGATTCATTGATTGTATTGGTGATTGAAAGCTAGGGTCTAAAGTACATCCTCGGGCCTTTTATTTTTTTATTTTGAGATAAGGACTCACTAAACTGCCCAGGCTGGACTCCAATTTATGACCTTCGTGCCTCAGCCTCCAAGCCACCAAGCCCGGCTCTGGCCAGCTCTCGCCAAGCGGGCACTAGCGCCATCAACACCCCACCCCAAACCCCCCATCCGCCACACGAAACCCGACTGCAGGTATGATCTTGTGCAAACGCGGCGAGAGTGCACGGAGCAGACGGGAATGCCAGATCGGCTGCCAGTGAAGGGAAGCTCAGCTCACGACCGCAGTCTCTACCCGCGCGCGCTTGAAACCCAGCGGGGCGCAGCCTGGGACTGACCCCAGCTTCCGCCGCTCTCGGTCCACCACAGCTCTGGTGCAGACGCCCCAGGCTCCACAGCTAGGACACCGCCGGAAGGGCCAGAATGCTCGATTGGTGGAAAGCCTGAGAACATGAGTTCCTATTGGCCAGTGAGCCAGAAAGCCCCGTTGGCAGAAATCCGGAGTACGGGAATTTCCATTCGCCAAAGGGTAAAACGTCCCGTTGGTCGAAGGCCCAGCGGGTAGGAGTTCCCATTGGTCCAGCACCCCACCGCGTGGCCTTCTGGGAGTTGTAGGCGCAGCATTATCCCCCCCCCGCGCCGCCGCCATTGTCCGGCGGGCGACGAATCGGGTGTTTTCCTCAGTAGGGGCGATTTTCTGGCCTAGAGGTTGCGTCGGGCTTCGGTGCTCCCCGCGCGGACCCAGGATGGAGCCCGAGGATCACGTGGCGGTCGTAGCGATGAGCGCATGGCCGCCGGTGGAACGTCTGCAGGTAACAAT